CGGGCATGCTCCCCGGCCGTCGGCGCGGGCGGCGGGCGGGCGCGCACGTGCTGGCCCCGCGGGTCGCGGCGGACGCGCAGGCGGCGGCCGGCGGGGCACGGGGCCGGGCGCGCCCGCGGACGGGGCTGGACAGCTCTACGCCGCGGCGCCGCCGTGCCCCGCGCGCCCCAGCGGCCGCTGCTGCCCGTGCGCGCCGGGCCCGCCTCGCATTCCCCCACTCGGCGGCGGGCCTGCGCCTCCGTCAGGCCGCGCGGGGAGCGGCGGCGAGTCCCGGCGAGGGGCCGCCCCCGCCCGCCCCGAGGGCTGGGCTCTGCCGGAAGAAACCCGGCACACTTCGGGGCCGCCTCGCCGTCTCCCCGCCGCGGCCTGGGCTCGCTCCCCGGCCGGGGGTGGGGGGAGGGGCTGGGGGGAGGCCCCGTGGCTCCTGCGGACCCGTCGGCCTCGCGCGTCAGACTTGTGAGTGTGCTAGAGCCCGGTGCACTGGCGGAGAGGCGCGAGCCGACTTGTGGGAATTGGCACCCTTAAGCAGCTTTTTTTTTTTTTTTAAACAATGAAGTTCTTAAGGAGTAAGAGGACAAGTCTAGGGGAACAGAGCTTATACGACGTGGTGAGGCACTTGGAATGTTGTGGGCAAACCAGAGGTAGTTACTGGAGTTCCAAACTGGATATTCCAAGCAGCTTAGAGACCCGGTTTGCGGCGCGCTGGCAGCCAGTTCTCTCCACGACATCGAATACTTTGGCTCTGGGCCAAAAAGATGAAACCGCCCCCTTGGTCGTCACAGGTAGTGGGAGTAGTAACCGCCAGAGGGTCTGCACGCAGCTCCAGCACCCTCTCTCCCGCCCCCCCCCCAAAGAAACTGGAGTAAGGCCAGAAATAGCTTCATCTTGATGTTCTTTCCGGACCGGCCTCCAGTCACAAACAAGGAAACCAAGAGGGTAGTGGGTGAAATTTAAAAGAAATGGTGAAGTGTGTATTTAGACTAGGCAAGAATGGACTTGCCTGCCAAGATCTTAAGTACTGGAATTAAATGCGCACACACCTAAAACCTAGCTGCCCTATCGCCAACTATATCACCTTCTGCGGTTGAAAGGAGTGCTTTCCCCTGGAAGGGCAAGTGCTAAAATTGTAAGAAGACTGTTGAGACAAAGTCAGAAGAGAGCAAAACCACCAAAGGCTGCTCATCCCCTTGGTCACCGTCAAAACTGGAGACTAGGCCAGGAAAGCCATCATCACACAACTCTCCTTAAAATACCCGTCTTCTGACCTATGACAATCCCTCTGGGACAAGAGGTGACCCACTGAATACTAAGCTCTCACCTTCTTCCTCCACCGTGATATGCCCTAAGACCCACTAAGAAAGATTTCGCAGGTCCCTCCCCAGAGAGGCGCTTTGCCCGTCTGCCCCCCAGAACCGAGCACCTGGATGAGACCACTGCAACCTCGCTGTGGCTGCACTCAAACCCATAAACTCCGGAGGCCTTACCATCATCAAAAACAGACCCCATGGTTACCTGGTAGAAATAAATACGCTAACGTCGGAAGACAGTTCATATCCACAAGTATTTATTGAGTGCCTATATGCAAGAATGAAGACAGGATGACCCCCGGCTCTTCCTGGAGCTTACAGTCCCACCACTCCAATACTTGCCTAGCTTTAAAAACAGCAGCAACAAGCACTTGTCTTTGTCTAACCATCAGCAGCACTGGAGGAAGCCAGTTTTTCACATTATATTGGTCACTGTTACAGTGCAACTGTGAATAAAACAATTATCTTTGAAGTCTGTAGTCACAGCAAGGACATGGTGTAGTATGTCCAGCAAATGCAAATTTATGGCTTGATTCCTCCGATTTGAGAGGCATCTACTGAAATAAAACACGCATCAGAAGGAGAAAGCTTCATAACACAGGTCCTAAGAATACTGGTGTAGTTTAATATATTATCAAACTGCCACAGGACTCTTGGCAACAATGATTTCCTGCGAAGTTTGTGCAATATAACTGGTTGAATCAGACCTGTAAACCTCATGACCACTGACCACACACACTCACGGCTGGTAAGTAGGATGTACCTGTAGGATTCTTAAAGGGCCCTAGGTACGCACTTAATTTTTAAAGCTTCTTCGAGACTCGAAGCACAAGTGGCACGTTAAAATTTAGTGAAAACTGCTTTTGAGATAAAAATTAAAATGACAAAAACGTCTAATTTTACTACAGATGTTAAGTGCAGGAGTCAAATTTAAATAGCATTGGGTGAAGCACCTGGCTTTTCAGAGTAAAAAAAGGGGAACACGTTTTTGGTGGTTTATCAAACTCTAAATCATGACCTTCATGTGGATTTTCTAGTGCCCTGTGGCAGGCGCTTCTTCACGTGGTCCTGCTTCACAGGCCATCACCGTTACAGGCCTAATTACAGAACATTCCAAGGGGCAATTATTTTGGTTACATTGCCAACACTTTTGTTTTTAAGAAAATAGCCTATATTTATATCAGATAATCCCCAAATCACCTATTTAAGATGCTTCTGAACTTATACTCACTGGGTGACCAGTTTTGTCACTTAAAAAAAAAATGAACCTCATACTCATACCAGAAGGAAGATCAAACTCCAAGAAATTTCTTTTTTTTTTTTTTTTTGCAAAATGGTGGAGAGAACATCTCAGACCACCTAACAAATATGAACCAACCCAAAGTAATTTTTAAGTCACTTGCTGGGGGCACAACATACTGTTCAATTTAACAAGTACCAAATCACTACTTCGAATTGAAAGACCTTTTTAATTCGGAATGAATCTGAAATGTACTTTTATTGAAAACTGGCTAAGCACCAGGCACTTTACACAATCTTTAAATTGGAAGGGAAGTTTCTTATCACTTCATCTTATCTTTTGCTGCTGAGGCAGGCAGGCCTGAGCCTTGTGGTGACCCAGGTCCACCTGGCTCTCCTGTCTGGTCCCAGCAGAGGCCCCCTCCCAGCATGGCCCCGTTCTCTACCTCTATTGCGTCAGCGTCAGCTGAACACCTATTGTGCCTCAGGGCTCTGGCAAGGGAAGAAGGGGACAGACCTGAGTGAAAACAGAGAGCTAACTCTATATGCATTTAAAAAGGCACTTCCACTCAGGTTCTGACTACACTGAGCTTAGCCCCTGAGGGAACAAAGTGGCTCACCTCCCAGGGACGACAGCTGCTTTCTAAGACTGCCCCCTTTGGGGTTCAGTTTTTAAATTGAGTGTTCCTGTGTGTAAATTCAGCACAAAAGAGGGAAAGATGGCTGAAAGGATTTTCCTTGGTTCTCTTCGTGGCTATGAAGAAAAGAATTGTTTTTAATTTTTAAATAAGTGACTGATACTTCCAATCTATTATACATTTCAAGAATCAAAGCATACATTTTCTGAGAGAGAGCGCAGAAGAGGTTTTGATGGGAGTTTCATATCTTTCTTAAAATAAGCCAACAGAGACTAAGAAGGTAACTCCTTCACAAGATAAAACCATAATCTCTTCTGAAATGGCAATTTCCTATTCTTAAGAAGGTAGTAGACTTTATTTATGATAAAAGTAGGGAACAAGAATATCCTAATTTTCAAGTTCGTTTTTAGTATCACGTACAGAACACAAAGGGAATACCATCGGTAAAGTCAATCCCTTAACTAGATTTTGACACAGCTGCACTGGAGCTTGATTAAAATTCACTTTTTCTTTTCTACAACTAGAAGACTTTAAAAAAAAAAAAATACCACTAATAAAGGCACTTATTCCATTGATGAATAACTGTGATTAGACAGAGGTGTTTAACTGGTGGCAGGAGCCAGGATCAAAGGTTCGATTCATGCATAGGAGCAAGAGGGGCATCATCAGACGCCTGCCTCCCACCCACCCCCGCCCCGCCCATCTCCCTCCCTGCGGAGATGCCCTCCAAGCTGAGAAGAGTGCTCGGCTGGGGCATCAGGCCTGGAAATCAGCCAGGTAAGCTTTGGTGAAGGGTGCTCAAAGGCAGTTTGATACCCCTGCTCAAAGGCAAATGTGTATTCTAGTGGAGTAATGGTTGGCTCGGCTCATGACTATAATATCTATAAGCTGTTAAGAGGTTACATAAGAAGAAAAGACTCAAAAGAACACCAAAATTTAAAACCTGAGCATTGTTAATGGGAATCATTAGGAAAGTTTAGAATGAATCAGTTTATCAGCAAGGACACGAATATGTGGCCACTGGATTCTGACTGGCCACCCGAAAGTGGGCAGTTGAGCAGCCAAACCGGATGAGCAGTCAGAACATATACTTGCTAGTGCTGCTGATCAGAGCGCAGCCTCCTACCCAAGTGCCACCGCCGAGAGCCAAGAGTCGCTGCCAAGGCAGTGAGCTGGAGCCTTCCGGCAAGGCCAAAGGAAAAATCCAGGCTCCGGCTACACGCATTCCCTGTCCATGAATTAGCAGGGTAGGCTGCTCTGATCTAAATCTGGCATTCTTACAGTACCTACTATGGGAGTAGTTTGTGGCAGGGGTGGAGGGGAGAGGGGTTAAAAATGTCTGCATGAGGACTCTGACCGCTGAAGCCATGTGCGCTGAGAAGCACGGCCGCTCTGACAGCCCGGTGGGGCGGAGGCCTGTTTATTTCATCAAAGTTTTATCCATCGATTTATTGTGGCAAGTGGGTCACGGATTCAGAATGATGGGCAGAAAGCTACAGCTCTCCAAATGTTTAACATTTTCTGAAAAGTACTACCTATGTGACTAAAGAATTAGAGTATTATAGGTCTCATTTTTCTTTCCTTGCAAATAATAAAGTTCAAGGGAAACAAAATGAGTTATTCATAGTTTTCAAAGCTTTCCAATATTCTATCATTTCCGTATTTCCATTATTACTATTCTAATATTCACTCCAAGACCTTTTTCCTAACAGCAATTGCATTACCATTTTTTTAAAAATTTCAACACGACTAAAATCCAGGGATGCTGCATTTTTCTTTTGCTTTTTGCAGTCAGCATATCTATCATTATGGAAGCTGTTCTTACGCATTTATTTTAAAAAAAAGAATCATATTCACAATGTAGACCAAGTATACAAAATTAGTGTGCAAAGTTAATTGTAAAAGGAGAACACTATTTGTTTAGAAACAAGCTGCCTCCACTGTTTACGTTTTCTTACTATTGATATAAACTGGAGACTTATACTATTTAAAAATAAGACTTTTTAAATAGTAAAATATACAAGAGATTCCTGAGCATAACAAAAATATCTTGAAAATATGTGGCCATTTGAAGTATAAAATAGCAAGTGTAAAGAATAGCATGATTGTAAAACTACTATTTGAAGGCTTATAAACAGTACAAAATAGTTTGCCTTTTCTGAGTGCATAATTATACGTTAGTGCAAACAAAAATGTCTCAAAATTTAATGGCTACAAATCTCAGAGATTTGCAGAGGTGCGCAAAACATGAAATTTCTTTAATGTCATTCGAACTGAACCCAGTTCTCGATTAATCCTTTCCAAACGATCTTCCAAGGCTTCCTAAGGGAAAATAACAGGAAATGTTTAATTAGATTTTGACATCAAGTTCACTGGTTCTATAATTACCGCCAGATTGACCTTTCTTTTAACTAAAGAGCTAGTATAAACATTAAAATTACAGAATTATTGTGTTTTTTACATATATCGTCTCATTTATATTATTTCTTCAAACTAACAACTTTTCAACTGTTCAAAACAACCGCTGCACCTTAACACATGCTTGTTACGGGCGCTATTTGAAGATGTGGAAATGCCAGCAAGGGCAGAGCAGTTCACTGGAAGGAGGTAATTCCCTGATTGCTGAACTGAGAAGTGAACAAGCAGAACCAAGGAGGTACTTCAGACACTCCACCAGAAGAAATAGACACATCAAACTGCTGCCTTATCTCACTTATAAGTACGTTGAACAACTTTCTTCTGATGAGAATTTCTTTTTTTTTTTTTTTTTTGGTCTATATTCATTTAGTCTTTTTTTTATGTATATGTATTTTAAATATACACATATCCATACACACTTCAGTTTTTTTTTTTAATGTTTTTAATGTTTTTTATTTATTTCTAGGAGAGAGAGAGAGAGACACAGCGTGAGCAGGGGAGGGTCAGAGAGAGACGGAGTCACAGACTGAAACAGGCTCCAGGCTCTGAGCTGGCAGTCAGCACAGAGCCCGACGCGGGGCTCGAACCCACGAACCGCGAGATCATGACCTAAGCGAAAGTCGGACGCTTAACCGACTAAGCCACCCAGGCGCCCCTTCTGATGAGAATTTCTAAGTTAAAAAGGAAGGAAAATGCTGGAAGAGTTCCCCACCCCGCCCAAGAAGCAAGAGATCTCACAATGAATCAATGTAACAATTTCTTTCTTTCTTTTCTTCTCTCTCTCTCTTTGTTTTGAGAGAGAAGAGGAGAGAAAGAACACCCATGAGCAGGGGACAGGGGTAGAAGGAGAGAGGCAGGCTCCATGTCTAGCGCAGAGCCTGACGTGGGCCTTGACCCCACAACCCTGGAATCATGACGTGAGCCAAATCAACAGTTGGACACTCAAACAACTGAGTCACCCAGGCGCCCCACAACTGCTATTTTTAAAAAAAGCAGTACCATTGTTAAGTAAATAGTGCCTGGAATATATATTTAGCATTTTAGATACTTTATTCAATATTAACTCCAATGGTCTCTGCAATAAAACTTAAAAAATTCCTCTTTAACAAGTTTAATTACAAAAGGATCACACGTTCATGATAAAGTATTTAGAAGACAGATGAGTAAATATAACTACTGTTCCTCTTTCCTTTTTTCTGCAGATATGCACATCATTTTTAAGAAAATAAAAACAATCAAATTCTCTACTTAACATTTTTCAATTGAAGTTGTTATGAAATGTCTTTCTATGGTATCATTTTAAATCAATGTGCACTATTCCATTAGATTTAGCCAAGAATCGTTTAGTAGAAATTTAGGTTGCTTCTAATTTTGGATATCACAAATAATGCTGCAATAAATATTCTGGGTTTTTTTAATGTCTGTTTTTTGAGGGGGGCGGGCAGAGAGAGAGGCAGTCAGAGGATCCGAAACAGGTTCTGTGTTGCTGCTGACAGCAGATAGCCCAATGCTTTGGTTGAACTCACCAACTGTGAGATCATGACCTGAGTCAAAATCAGACACTTCCGCAACTGAGCCACCCAAGTGCTCCTGCAATAAATATTCTTAAAACTATTTCTTTATACACATCTGGAGGTATTGCCTTAGGAATCATTTCCAGAGGTAAAATGCTAGGTCCAAATAAGCACAAAATTCTGAAGCTTTGGATATAGGTAAAATCGTACCCCAGAAAGTCTGTGACCATTTCTACTTCCACCTACCGTGTGTGAGAATATAATTTTCTCCATTCTGGGTACTGGGCTTTGGTTCCGCGCCCCCCATTTTTTTTAAATACCTGTCAATGTAATAGGTTTTTTTTGTTTGTTTGTTTTTTAATAATGCTGTTGGGGCACTTGGGTGGCTCAGTCGGTTGAACGTCCAACTTCGGCCCAGGTCATGATCTCATGGTTCTTGGGTTTGAGCCCCACTTTGGGCTCGCTGATGTCAGTGTGGAGTCCACTTCAGATCCTCTGTCCCAACCCCTTCTGTCCCTCCCTCCCTCCCTCTCTTTCCCAAAAACATTTTTAAAAAATAATGCTTTTGTTCAAATGTGTATTGTTTTATACTCATTGGTCAGGCTGAATATTTTTCAGCTTTTTTCCTGCCCAATTTTACCTTTCTCACTTATGAATCTTATATAAGCATCCTCAGCCCCTTTTTGCTGTCACTGGTCCCCTTACTGGACAGAAATATCTTTGCTATTTATGAACAGAAACTACTGCCTTTTAAGTTATTTTGAGAGCTTATAATCATTACATTAAAAAATATTAAACACATGTTTCAGATAAATTTAGCATCAGAGTATTCACAAATTTTCCTTCCCAATAAGGAGGAAGAGTTTCCTGTGTTGAGTCTGACAAATTATTGCGTAAAGACTTTCAGAACAACAAAAACAATAAAAAAGATTTAAAGTCTTAAAGAGAAGTTAGGGAAATAGGCCCTAAAAAATAGACCTCTGCTGTTTTCTTGGCGTTTTGTTCCTTCTGGTATCACAGATCAATCTGAAAATGAACTTTCCCTGAAGTTAAAGGACTGAAAAGCCAAAACATGCAGTTATGTAAGAGACCTATCCCTGTCGTTATGCTTAAAATGTTACAAAAAGAGCCGATTTTAAATGTCCCGTGGTTTCATGCATTTTAATTCTCTCTGAAAAGCAATGAAAAGAAAGGCAGGAGTCGCTTCGCCTGCACCATCTCCTGCTCAGTGATGGAATCACATCTCTCTGTAACCTCTACAGCTACTCCAGCTGCAAAGTACAGTTGCTTCACATGTTTACTAAATGGAAAGGGGTTCTGAAATAAATTAGACTGGGAAGGAAGAAACAAACACCAAAAGGGACATTTAACGTGAGAGTATTAACGTACAATCTATTACAAGACAAACTGCATAGTGGCATGAAGGCATGGACATCTTTTTCATGACGTACAAAGGTCATATCACTTTCTATTCCTGAAAGCTAGCCTGCAGTTCTAACATACTATAATTACCAAACACTTTTCTAAAAGGCTAAAAGTACTATAATTACCAAACACTTTTCTAAAAGGCTAAAAGTTTTGCCCAGTTGCTTCAGGATGCCTAAAACGCCATCTTGGTTAACTGGAGCACTAACCAGCATCCTACCTCTAAAGCAGATTCAAGCTAAGTTAGATATTTCACCTGATTTAATCTTGTCTGCAAAGTGATTCGTCCTCCAGCAGAAGGCATTCGACTTAGCGCTGCCTCAATCTGTTAACACACACAACACACACAAACATATAAAAACAGAAGAATTCAAATTAATGGCAGCAGGGGGGTTTTAACAGAATAGAAAAGAAAGACTTAAGCCCAGTATTTTCTGGTCCATCCCGCCTTCACGTAAGTTCCCTCTGTCCTAATCCACAAGGGCACCTCAGCTCAAATGCATTCCTAGCGCATCTCTGGGAAGTCATCTGCAGTGACTTCCTGGGATGGTCTGACTCAAGTAATTCCCTTCTAACTACCCCTCAGGCATTAGCATTTAAGTTCAGAAAAAGACTTTTTTTAAGTTTTTGCTTGCTTTTACCTGGTCTTTTTCTTTTGTAAGTTCATCAAAAAACCGTTCCGTTTCAGCTAGGGTCCTGATTTTTGCTGTATATTCAAAATCATGACCGTGTGGTGCTACTGACGCGGGCTCACACTGTTCATAGCTGACTGACTTATTCTTCTCCCAGGCTGATCTCACAGACACTTTCTTCCCTCCATTTGGCAACAGTTCGGGAGAAGAGCTATGATTAACATGGATGTCGGCGGCTGTTTCTGAATATTTCTTTTCTGTCAGAGAAAAAAGAAATTTATTTCTTACCAATTTTCCTAATAGATCCTATTCATAACTATATATGTTATCCAACTTCACTTTCTGAAAATGGCTAACACACACCAAAAAAACAATGAAAAGAGACAAAACAATCAATCCTATTTCTCCACAGAATTCTAAGTTTTACCCTCGGTCTGACAATCTGCACAACTTCCCTAAGTCAAGGTATGTGAACTTTCTGTAAAGTTAAAGGAACTTTAAACTTAAAGCCCAAAAAATAACCAAAAAAAAAAAAAAAAGAAGTTAAACACTAACTACACGCTCTTGGACACACAGCCACACCAGCGGTGAAAAGCTAGAGTCTCAATGGCCTGCCCAGTGACCCACATACATTATCTTCTAACTTTATTCCAAACTTAGAAGATAAATGAGAAAAAAGAATAAAAAAAAGTCACCGAATACCTAAGCTGCAGAGAAATTACAGAATATAAAAGTAAAGAGAATAACTGAATGGTATGGCCCTGGTAAGTAAGCAATAACATTCCCTGTACCTCAGTTTCCCAAGTTTTCAAAGAGGATCACAACACTGACACACAATATGAGCATCACATATGCTTATTAATAACTTAGAGGCCCTCGGGCAGAAAAATTATTTAACATTTAACATTAATTATTTAACATTATAATATTTAGAACCTTGAAAAGATACCAGAAATTCACGAAACAAAGGACTAAAACCATAACTAATAATTTTTTAGGAAAAGATACCTTCTGAGTCATCTAGAGGAAGAAACTGGAGTTGTTTTCTTGGATTGGTACGTTGTAACGCAGACACAGGAACAGTATCTAAATCATCCAAAAGTATATCAAATCTATTGAATGAAGCAAGTTACTTGTGAGAAAAAAATGTTAACTGATTTTCCCTATCTCCACTAGAAAGATGAGCTGGCATTCAGTTAACTCACGTATTGTTTAAAAAGAAAGTCGGTCGTGCAATTTTCTAAAATTTTTATTTCTAACACAAAATTATAAATTAGAGACTTAAAGCATTTATCCATATGGTATCTCCTTTGATCATTATAACAACCTTATAAAATAAGCAGGGCAGGTATTATTATCCCCACTTTACAGAAGAGGAAGCTGAGATTCAATGTGCTTAAGTAATTTCTCCAAGAGCCTGGTAAGAGCTAGGTTACCAGCTCCTACGTCTTAGGAGTCAGTGGCTTCCCCCGGTCGCACACACTGCTGAGTATACGTCAGAGGACAACTTTTTCAGGCGCCCAGGGAAACTTACGTTTAGTGCCAGGGCCATACCAGGACAGCCCACCTTCTTGTACAAATGGCTCAAAAATTTCCCTCTATCATTAACCTTTTCAGGAAAACAAAGAATTACCATTTATTCTATATCCAAAAGCTGGAAGGGATTCTGAGGCGATAAACTCAGGAGTAGCCGATTTATATAGTTAAAAACCGTTCTCATGTTTTGTAGTCCTTCTTTTAGTATGACATTCATTTAAATTATTTAAATCCACAGAGTACCCACTGATGATGAAAAATCAGTGATAGCTACAGGCATAAACTGACACTTTTGTAAAAAAAAAAAAAAAATCAAGAATATATATATTTTAATCTACTATTTTAGAGAACTTACCGGGTTGGACTGCTTTCATTTTTGCTAAGTAGATGACTAAATCCTGGGGACAAATTTTCTTTAGGGGATCGCTTTGGACTATAAGCCACAGTCACTGGTGTTAACATAATCTCTCTTTTTGCTACGGAAGAAAATGAAGAAGAAATATTCTTTTTCTTCTATATAATACATATACTGGCAAAACATGCTTTCTTTTTCAGAACATTTTCTAACTTTAAGTGGAATACAATTTCACTATAAAACTTTCCAAAAGATAAATAAGAGCAAACAAAAATAATTCACAATGCTAACATCTAGAGGGAACCACTGTCAACATTTTAGTGCATCAGACTGTAGTTTCAGCACCCCGACTCAAAACTGGTTTTTCAGGATTTTAGAAGTCAACTGGAAATAAGATGGAAACACCAGTAAACCAGTGAACATTCCTATAACACAGTTATATACAAATATCCTCAGGTGTTCTGAAAATGGAAAATTGAGAAAACAGAAACCCAATGCTTAACCTTTAAAACCACATCCATAATTGGCTAAAGAAGCCCGAGGTAAATATATGCAAAGAAGCATCTTTTGTAAGCTAGTTTAATTTGTTTGAACTCATGTTTAGATAACTGTCAATGATCTACCAGTGTGAAGTGGTATTAGTTACAAAAAACATTTTGCTTGCGGCACCTGGGTGGCTCAGTCAGTTAAGCGTCTGACTTCGGCTCAGGTCATGATCTCACAGCTCGTGAGTGCAAGTCCCGCATCAGGCTCTGTGCTGACAGCTCAAAGCCTGGAGCCTGCTTCAGATTCTGTGTCTCCCTCTCTCTCTCTCTGTCCCTCTCCCACTCACAGTCTCTCTCTCTCTCTCAAAAATAAATAAACAAAAAAAAAATTTTGCTGGACACACAAAATACATTAGTGTACTGTGATTTCTTCAGCTCTAGTCGTAGTATCTGTGCAATCAAGCAATGTTGTTATTGAACAAGAGTCTATTTAGGGATCCTGTGTTCAAAGCACTCTACTAGGTGCCAGGGAGAGTGGAAGGCCAACAGAAAACCCTAGAGATATATACACCAAACTCTTACTTGGAGTACTTGATTTACGAGTTGAAGGGGGTAAAGACGAGGATCTCTGTGAAGCAGAGTTAAATCTCTTCTGTCTTTGTTGGGCACATTTGTCTGGGGACCGACTTGCACTGACAGGCGTTTCAGTTTGCCGAGGATTCACTAGTTCTATAACAGACAAATGTCAAAAAATAAACAAACAAAACAAACCTAGCCTCAGGTAGCTACCTTTTTTAACAGATGATTATGCCAAGCATGCAATTTTCATTATCTAGGTTAGAATGATTCTTTGCAAATGCACGTTATGAGGATAAAAAAACAATGCTGGATGAAGAAAAATGTGGGAGTTTGTAATGAACTCATTCTGGCTCCCTGTTTACAAGTGCCATTCAAGGTGATTTCTCCAGAGAGATTATTTTTAGAAAGCAGGTCACTAATTTATTTACTAGGAGATACTGCTTTGGAGAATGCAATGCTGAAGACCTAAGAGTGTGATCAGCGGGCCCGACCAAGTGAGCGCACTAGAGTAAGTAGGAGGAGACGCAAGTACCGTTGACCTGCACTTGTGAGAAGAACAGGACTACCACACTTCTCCTGCCGAGGTGCTCATTAACCAAGAAAGGAAGAGGAGAAAATGGTACATCTCATTTTATGAATACCAACAGTCTGTCTTAACACTCTGACGTGATTTAGAAATTTTCTAAATATCTTTAAGAATGCCACACAACTGTTTACTAAATCAGCATGTAACACGCAGTCTGCTTTGATAAAAGGTGCATGTCATGCCATGGCTGTGATAAGTTATGAACCAGGGGATTTAAAGAAGGTGATGTAACTGGGGGCGAAGGGGAAGGTGTCTAGAATCTATTACCTATCTCTATCAAACAAGGAAAAAATGCTTACTATTTGAAGTGTCCTCTTTCTCTGTCTGTGTGCCCCAACTTTTAAATATTTTTCCTTCATCAAGTTCTTTTAAGGCTTTCATGATTGGTGTATCTGAAGTCTCTCTTGGTTTCTTTATCAATAAGCTTCCTGGTGAACTTCCAGATGAAGAATCCTTTTCCGGAGGAGAATGGTACCTTAAATAATAATTGTAAGACATGCAGTGCTATGGACTGAATATTGGGTCCCCTCGACCTAAAGCTCGTATGCCGAAGCCCCAATCCTCAGTGGATGGTGGTAGGAGGTGAGGCCTTGGGGAGGCGATTTGATTTAGAGGAGATCATGAGAGTGGGGCCTCCGTGATGGAACTGGTGCCCTTATAAAAAGGAGTGATACAACATCTCTCTGTCCGCACACCTTCACCGAGGAAAGACCATATAACTAGGAAGAGGAACCTCACCAAGAACCCACTATGGGGCAGCACCCCTATTTCAGACTCTCAGCCTCCAGAACCGCAGGAACAAGTGTTTCTTGTTTAAGCTGCCCAGTCTGTGGTGACGTGATACAGAAGCCTGAGCTAAGACAGAGCCCCTGGGTGCTGGCAGAGAGTACCAGGAGAGCTAACAATCACGCGGCGCAGCGGGAGCGAAGACGTATGCTCTACAACACAAATACGTTACGTCGAACCTGCATGTACCAGACCAGGGCTTCCCCGTCGTTTTCCCAGCCTCGCACAGGCAGGAATATGGTATTTACATGGTGCTCGGGAGTAATATGGTTGCTCGGGCTATCCAGAGGGTGAGAGCATCAATCCCTTGCCCTAACCGAGAGCCCGTGCACAGCACACCACTGTGTCAGGAACACAAAGTGGGGGGCGCTCCGCACAGCCTTTAATGGTCATGAACCCAAAAAGCATTAGTTTTTCAAAGTAAACTGAAAATCAGGTCCTCAAAATTAAGGCACGAAAGCAACACAGAAAAGGCTCTTTGTATCTTCCTGAACATTTAAGGGCAATTAAAATCTCTATGAAACCATATCGGTTCCTAAATACGACCTTTGGCAAAACTGCCTTACCCGGGAACACAGGTTTCCACCAGCTGGTTATTCACTCTGTTATCCTCAGTGTCCAAAGGCTGCCCGGTAAAGATGGAATACTCTGCGCCTGGTATCAGCCACTTGCGCCTGCTGACGTCGGAGGTGGCCAGCGTGCTAGGACAATGAGAAACGATCTGAGGTGTGACAGGCTCATGCTTCGGTTCAGACAACACATACAGAAAACGACCTGCTTTGAAATGTTATATACACATGTGTACAGGCATTTAAAAACTGCATAAAGCAACCTTAGGTTACATACGTGAATTCTGTTTTATGGTTTTCAGATCCAACTGAACTGTTGTTTTAGGTTTCTGCTGCTCTGGAATATTTCTGCAGCTCAGTCAAGATTCAGGTACTCTCCTATCTACACAGCTCTGAACACCCCCAGCAACTTCCCACCACACTTCCTGTGCTTCATACCCACCTTGGAGCTCAGGCCACAGCTGTGCAAGCCAGACTACCCTTCCTGGTCCTACCAGACCAGCACAGAAACATCCTCTATCTGCACAGCCAATGCAGTAGCCACATACTGGTACTGAACACCCTAATTGTGGCTAGTGAGATGAAGAGCCAATTTTTAAATGCTATTTAATTTTAATTAACTTAAAAACTTTTTTTAAGTCTTTTTTTTTTCCTTTGGTTTATTTATTTTTGAGACAGAGAGAGACAGAGCATGAGTGGGGGAGGGGCAGAGAGGAGGGAGACACAGAATCTGAAACAGGCTCCAGACTCTAAGCTGCCAGCACAAAACCCGATGTGGGGCTTGAACCCATGGAATTCGAGACCATGATCTGAGCCAAAGTCGGACACTTAGCCAAATGAGCCACCCAGGCGCCCCTAAAAACTTTTTTTAATGTTTCTTTATTTTTGAGAGAGACAGCGCAAGCAGGGGAGGGGCAGAGAGAAGGGGAGACGCAGAATCTGAAGCAGGCTCCAGGCTCTGGGTTGACAGCAGAGAGGCTGATGCAGGGCTCCAACTCACGAACTGTGAGGTAATTTTAATTAATTTAAATTTAATAGCCACACATGGGGACTGGCACTAAGATACTGAGTAGTGCATCCAGGCTAGTACCTCCCCTATCTTATGAAAACCCTGCCTAATGAGGCTCACACAGCATGCATCACCTGGCCCTTCGCTAGACTCCAGAACTGGTCTCATCTTCACCACACCTCCTCCAGCCCCCACTCTGGGCAATGTCAGTGTCCAAATAGATGAGCGGTCCAGGACCCCTCCTAGTGACTGGACTCTACTCCTGCTCACTCACCCCCATCAGCACACATTCACTGGACTTTGTCATCACCAGAGAACATCCCCCCACTTAAGAAATCATGACTCCAAAGATTCTTCTGGTTCACGTGCCCAGGCATCACCAGGGCACTGTGCCCCCAAGGCCTGTGATCCCTGGCCTCACCATTTTCCATGTGTCAACCCCTCCACTTCCCCCCTACCTACTCTGGGATGCACACTCTCGGTAAGAGTTACTCAGTGCCTTGGACCCCTTCCCCGCTCACCTCCCATCACACCCAACTGAGCAGAGATCTAAGCCTGGAGGACTACAGTGGCCTCACTTCTGAGTATCTACACTCCTACACTTGGGCTTTGCTGGAAAAAAGCCACCCATCTGTGCAGACCCACCGGGCTATCATTACAGAATCACTATCACCATCTCAATAGACACCCAACACTGGCTGGCAACATACCTTTCTGTAATCAAGGAGCTCCAATTCTCCAACAGGACTACCTTTCACCTTCTCCACCTTCCTCAAACCTCTCACCCAACCCTGATGGTCAGGTGATAACCTCGCATCACACTGGGGTGGAAAAGAGAAACCTGGAGAAGAGAGAGGTCTTCCTCCCTCTGCTCCCTTTCACAGTCAAATTTCTTATGACATGCCTCTTCATTTTCATTTCAACTCCCAGTCACTCCCTAGATTTGGTCCTCTATTTTTAAATTAAGAAACATTCCAAACATTTTTAGAAAATTACATGGTGGCACAGTCAGTTAACCATCCAACTTTGGCTCAGGTCATGAGGTAGCCTATAAGTTTAAGCCCCGCGTCGGGCTCTGTGATGACAGGCCTGGAGCCTGCTTCGGATTCTCTGTCTCCCTCTCTGTCCCTCCCCTACTGCTGCTCTGTCTCTCTGTCTCTCTCTCTCTCAAAACTAAATACACATTAAAAATTTTTTTAATTAAAAAAAGAAAATTACAAAGGACACTATGAGCATTCACCTGTACTTGGTTTTAACAAATGTTAACATCTTACCACACATTTTCAATGGAAAGATATGAAATTCTGTATATACGGTTGTTTGTATTTTTTAAATTATATCCACATCCTTCTAATGCTGCTGCTTCTACTCAACATGTTTCAGATTTCCCCATGTTACTACAGACAGGTGTGTCATTTTAATCATTTACCTGCAGTATGACTATACCGCCCATTAGACTTTTTCCTGTTGTGGATGTTTAGTTTCTAACACATCACCTTTCAACAGTGCTACGATTAACACATGTAGGAATTCCTCTAAGGTAAATACCTAAAACCGGAAGTGTACAATTTAGGGTGTACATATCTGGAGTCTTAGTGGATACTGCCAAATCACGCTCCAGACAAGCTTACTGATTTTCAGTCCAACCACTACTTTGAGAGTACCTCTTTCTTCACATCTTTGCCAAACTTGCATTGATTAGAGCTGAAGTCTGGCCTGGCCTGTCTGATGGTATGAGTAGTATCCCAACTTGTTTTAATTTACATTTTCTGATTATTAGTAAAATGAACATCTTTTCATTTTATCAGCCATTATAGATCTTTTTCTGTGAACTGTTTGTTCATATTCTTTCATCATTTTTCTACTGAGGAGACTTTTTCTTTCATAGTTCTTCATATCGTGGACACTAATCCTTTATTGGTTCGTGTTCACTTCAGCATGCATAGACACATAGATTATACTAAAGCACAACTGTCTGCTTGATTATTTGCTATACCTTTTAGATTTTTGAACAGGGAAACACTACAGATACAACTCAAGTCCCCTGTGTACCTCTCCAATATCATTCCTCCCCAAAGCAACCACTCACACTACATTTATAATGTGTACATATGTATTTATTACTACTACGTTTTTTTATAGTTTATTTTTTATTTTTTTATTTTTGAGACAGAGAGAGACAGAGCATGAGCAGGGTAGGAGCAGAGAGAGAGGGAGACACAATCTGAAACAGGCTCCAGGCTCTGAGCTGTCAACACAGAGCCTGACATAGGGCTCAAACCCACGAACTGTGAGATCATGACCTGAGCCAAAGTTGGACACTTAACTAACTGAGCCATCCAGGTGCCCTAATTTATTATTACTTCTTTATGAACCTGTAAGAATACACACAACTATTCTACATGCTTAAGTCAATATAAATAGTATCCTACTTCTTCTGCAACTGGTTTTTTTGTTGTTCCGAATTATGTTCCTAAGACTAAACGATTAACTTCAGTGGTTGGCAAATTTTTCCTATAAAGAGTCAGATAATAAATAAGCTTTCTGTGTTATTTTGTTTTTTGAGTCTTTATAAAATTTTTTTAATGTTTAGTTTTTGAGAGAGAAAGAAAGAGACAGAGTGTGAGCCAGGAAAGGGCAGAGAGAGAGAGAAACAGAATCTGAGGCAGATTCCAGGCTCTGAGCTGTCAGCACAAAGTCCTATGCAGGGCTCGAACCCATGAACTGTGAGATCATGACTTGAGCGGAAGTCAGACACCTAAACAACTGAGCCACCCAGGCGCCCCCATTTTAATGGGTTTTATGAGCCAGATAAGGTTGTTTCTATTGCAACCACTCAACTTTGCCATTGTAATGCAAAGCAGCCACAGACAATACGTAAATGAATAAACTTTATTTATGGACACTGAAATTTGAATTTCATATACTTTTTACATGTATGAAATATTATTCTTTGATTTTTTTTTCCAAAAACATTTAAAAACATAAAACCTTTCTTTGCTCACGGTCCTTCCAAAAACGGACAAGTAGGCTGGATTTGGGCTGAGGGCTGTGCTTGCCAACTCCTGATCTAGCAAGTGCATTGTCACACACAGCACCATGCACAAATGTATTGCAATATATTAACATTCCAGTTGTTAGCCATACCGGTCACCTTCAGTCATTCTACGCAACATTCTCAACGGACGTTCACATCTGTCCCTCTGGGCAAACCACTCTCCAGCCCATCAAGCCCTGGCTGGCGCACCCAGGGCTCCCCACTCCCCCTCACTCACTCTCTCAGCAGCGGCCATGCCACCAGCCACTGTGGGGTTCCTCCCAGCACGCTGGCAGCTCTTTCTCAGCTTCTTGTGCCAACCCTGTCCCAACATCAGGACCTTGGGGTTCTTCAGAGCTTTGTCCTACACCACCTACCCCATGGTCCAGCGCTATGGAATGATAATTCTACAATTTGTGACTTCAACATAAGATCTTATTTCTGAGCTCCAAATGCAAATCTATAATCACCTGCTGGATTCCCATTTGGAATCTGTAGGAATCCCAAACTAAAATATCCGAAATGGAAATTCTGATCCTTACCCCATGGTCTGCTCTTCCCATTTCTTCCCTAGTTGAGTATATGGCACCCTGAGTGGCTCCAGACAGAAACCAAGGTGTTACCGGACACCTCCCTGTCTTATCTTGCCATATCATTCTTAGCCAGGTTCTGTGGATCCCACCTCCAGAGCCCTCACACCTTTCTCTCTGTCCATTTCTACGGACACCACCCAGCGGACACTATCTCTCCCAGCACGACGACAGCCTAGTTAGTGTGTCTGCTTCTACTCTTTTCCTCGCCATCTTCTCTTCATGGCAGGCGCATTAAAAAAATACAAATCAGATGACGCAATTTTATATACAACCTTTCAGAGGCTTCCGAACAGACTTAGAGTAAAATCCAAACTCTTGGCCATGTATGGCTTAGAAGGTGATGTGTGACAGTCTAAGATTCCATCAGGACCTACTTTACCTCTTGCTGGCGATATTCAGGCCACACAGGCTTCCCCCAGGTTCTTCAAACATGTAAGCTCTTTCCTACCTCAGGACACAATAAGGCTAATTTCTCTGCCTGGAACATCCCCTCCCTCACGCCCCCATCCCAGCAACTCAGCACAGGGCTCAGTTCCCTGCTTACAAGTCACTTCCACAGAAAGGCCTTCCCTGACCCCAATCCCATCCCACCTTTGTTCTCTTGCAAATGTTCAATTTCAGTTACTTACAATTTTTTTTTCTTTAAATAATTCACTATGTTCTAACTTAAGATTAATTAACAAAGATCTAGAGGGGCACCTGGGTGACTCAGTTGGCTGAGCATCCAACTTTGGCTCAGGCCATGATCTTGCAGTTTGTGAGTTCGAGCCCCACGTCCGGCTCTGTGCTGACAGCCAGAGCCTGCTTCAGATTCTTTGTCTCCCTCTCTCTGCCCCTCCCCCACTCGTGCTCTGTCTCTCAAAAATAAACATGACAAAAAAATTTTTTTTAATAAATAAAAAGACCTAGAGAAAGCTTCTCACTTGACAATTACAACTTAGAAAGGTTAAAATTTACAATTTTATAATCTTTCTGATACACATCGATTTTACGACCTTATGATCTACTCATTTAATATTCTTTATAAAATCGTAATAAAAACCAATTCTAATATGAGAAAAACAGTTCTAGGGGCACCTGGGTGGCTCAGTTGGTTAAGCATCCAACTTTGGCTCAGGTCAAGACCTCAGAGTTCATGGGTTCAAGCCCCGCGTGGGACTCTGTGCTGACATTGAGGAGGCTGGAGCCTGCTTCAAATTCTGTATCCTCCTCTCTCTCTCTGCCTCTCCCCACTCACACTCTGTCTCTCTCTCTCTCAAAAATAAATAAACATTAAATAAATAAAACATTAAAAAAATTAAAAAAAAAAAAAAAAAAAGGGGCGCCTGGGTGGCTTAGTCGGTTAAGCGTCCGACTTTCGCTTAGGTCATGATCTCACGGTTCGTGGGTTCGAGCCCCGCGTCGGGCTCTGTGCTGACTGCCAGCTCGGAGCCTGGAGCCTGTTTCAGTCTGTAACTCCCTCTCTCTCTGACCCTCCCCTGCTCACGCTGTCTCTCTCTCTCCTGGAAATAAATAAAACATTAAAAAAATTTAAAAAAAATAAATAAATAAATAAATAAATAAATAAACATTAAAAATATTTTTAAAAAAAGAAAAAACAGCTTTATAAATATATCATCAAGATAATGCTCTGAGATTATAACAAGGCTAATTCTGAATAACTAAAAAAACTAAAAAGAAATCCTTACAACCTAATAAAGATCTACTATCTTTGTAGGTCTTTCTGTTAACATAAGAATACAATTTCTGGAATTTTAGGGCTAAAAGACCTTTGGAGATGCTCCAGCCCAATGTCCTTGTTTTCACAGATAATAAAATTGAGCTAAAAAAAAAAAAATTAAATGATTTGCCTAAGGTCACACAGCTGGGCCGAGTCAACGAACAAAAACATTCTAGGTCTTTTTACACTCCATCAAATTCTACTCCCTCCTTTTGGCAAATGCCTCTGCATAAGAGCTTTTATAATATCTAATAATTATATGGTTTTATTTTTGTTTTTTAAGTAAGATCTACACCCAACATAGGGCTCTAACTCATGACTGAGCTATCGAGGTGCCCCATAATTAGATGTTTTTACACATCTAAATTCTATAATGACACTTAACCCTGACTTTCTCATGACTTAGACAGGTGAGTTTCTCAGTTCACTAAAAGAGTGCACCTATTTCCAGCTTTACCGAGATTAAACAAAATCACTTACTTGGCACGTGAGGATCTCACAGGAGTTCTAGAATTGTGGCGAAGACTTAACATATTTTCATGCTCTACTTGCTTGACCTGAGCTTCAAGTTTTGAAATTGTTCTAATTCAAAAGCAATAAGATAAATTAAGCACACAATAGATTTTAAATATAGTTCCACTACAAATTACTTAACAGACCCTTCTAGAAACTGCACTGTTGATTTGCCTAAGGTCACACAGCCTAAGGTCCATACACCTGTTTTCATAGTAAAATGGCACCAGTAGGCTTTAAAAAAGCTGAACAAAACTGAAAAATAAACTGAAAGACAAATACATTAAACTCTACAAAGAAGCATTTCATAAACTACAACCGAAGGAAAAGGGAACAAATGGCTTTTATATAACCAAGGAAATAAAGAAAAATTATAAATCTGACCTCAGATTAAAACACATGGTATAGGGGCGCCTCGGTGGCTCAGTCGGTTAAGCATCTAACTCTGGCTCAGGTCATGATCTCACAGTTCGCGGGTTCGAGCCCCTCGTCGGGCTCTGTGGTGACAGCTAGCTCTGAGCCTGGAGCCTGTCTCTGATTCTGTGTCTCCCTCTCTCTCTGACCCTCCCCTGCTCATGCTGTCTCTCCTTCTCTCTCAGAAATAAATAAAACATTTAAAAATTAAAAAAAAAAAAAAATGGTACAAATTTAAAAAATAAAGTACTCAAAAATAAACTTCAATTCTAACATGTCTAATTCTGAGCATATATATTCATGCATATGAAATACAGATAGGTAATGCTTTCACAAAAGAGAAAGCAGATTTAATATAATATCCAAGAAAAGAGCTAATAAGAACTTCCTAATTTTTTAAAGACACAAAGGCTAAATTATCCTGAACTATCTACCTACAGGCAACTCACCTCATTTGTCCCATGTTCAGAATAAAAGCCTATTTTCAAATTTACCAACAGGGGGTAAGTACTCTGGTACTTCTGCTTTGAAGCTACCTTGGCATTCTTTCTGTTTTCTTAAGCTTTGCCTCTGTGTTTGTATCCTTGTAACCTCAAGTTCTTGTCTGCCCTGCTGCAAGGAGGGTTTGAGAAAGAACAGCTCTAGCAGGCTGACACTTCATGCCGTGACAAGGAAGCTATGGCAGAACTGAATGCATCCCAGCAAAGACTTGAGCAAATGAGCAGGCCAGGCGGCAGCTGCATTCTCTCCAACGGCAGATCCTTAGGAGTGCGGTAAAATCTCCAAATAAGGGATGTATCTTCAAATATAAATACAAAAGCACGCTCCAAAGCCAATTAGAAGTAACTAATCATTTGGCGTGGGGACCATTTATGACTCTGTTTCTATCTTATTAAGCAAAAGAGTTCACAAATATAGTCCCCTAAACCAGGTTTTTAAGAAAGTAGATGGTCATAAAGTTGGTATGAATGCTATTTTCTTTTAGGAGCACTAAAATCATTTGGTGAACTAGACTGCCTCTTAAAATTCTCTTTTTTATTTTTTTAGATAGATTAAATTTCTTTTCAATGGTTTAGTATCACTTAGATCTTGCTATGCTGACAAAATACATAATGTTTCAGGACTGCATACTTCTCAAGCACAACCACCAATATACTCTAATCATTTAAAAATCTTTGGCTAAAATCAAATGTATTTCTAGGTCAGGGAAAGATGAGAATAAAACCTGACCTCCAAGTGCCTAAAAATCCTCAAGAAAAACTTTTAATTGTTTTCAGTACAGACACATCTTTACATGCTAAAAGAATAGAAGCATAACTATCTTATTAATAAGATAACACACCTTACCTTTTCAAATCAGAAATCTGAGTTTGTGCATCAAGCAATTTGTTCTCGGTTGTATTTAATGTATCCTATGAAATTAAAGGAAAAAATTCAGATAAGTGGAATAGTCAAAATATACTTTTAAGATACATAATATAAAACAAATCTAAGGTTACACCATAGAGAATTAGGCAAATACTCAGCAAATACAGCATCAACCACAGAGCCAATATACACAATTCAAGGGAAAAAATGAGAGAGCAAAACGATGGTTGATACAAGTTATGTACATGACCTGTGTAATAGGTATAGCCTATGATGCTTTCCTTAATTCCACACAATCCAGTGTCAAAATCGGCATATTTTAACCACAACTTGCCTAGAACCTCAGTAGATGGCAAAACAAATACACAGGTATTTTGCCATTTAGTACAATTTTAGATGTGATGAGTGGCTCCTGACCCTCCAGAACTCCCGCCTGCCTAGCTGTGTAGGCCTTTTCGCCAACCCTGAGTGATCACCAATACTCTGGACCCCACTTACAGCATTATTGTGGGGTTTTGTGGAATTCAAATATATAGTTCCCAAACAGAGCTTACATTAAGAATTCAAACATTATTGGGGCGCCTGGGTGGCTCAGTTGGTTAGGCGTCTGACTTCGGCTCAGGTCATGATCTCACAGCTCATGAGTGCAAGTCCCATGTCAGGCTCTGTGCTAACAGCTCAAAGCCTGGAACCTGCTTCAGATTCTGCATCTCCCTCTCTCTGCCCCTCCCCTGCTAACCTCTATCTCTCTCTCTCAAAATTAAATAAACATTAAAACATTTTTTTAAAAAAAGAATTCAAACATTATCAATAAACTCAAACAATTCCACAAAAAGCTACTGCTTTAAAAAACAAAACTTCGTATTTAAATATTATTAAATAAATATCTTCATCTGTATGGCTCTTCTTCTAAAAATTTCATCTCAACTCATCTCAAATACAACAGCCATTCAATATTTCTGAATAGCGGCGACTTAAATGGGCAAATATTTGTAAATAAGGATGCTGACAAGAGACGAGGAAGGCACAGAGAGAGGGCCTAACTTAGGCGGCTAGATGGAGGTGGAGGAGGGAGAGGAAAGGAGGAGAAAGAGTCAGCCCTCTTCATTTCCAACCCAGTGTTTCTACCCCTCCATGATGTTCAGAACATGAATCATCAACCATTACCTTTACTCTTTCGTGTTCTTTTCCAAGGGACTCATACTCTCCTAGGAGCTATAAGGAAAAACAAAGAATTGCACCACAAAGTTAAACATTATAATAACAACTCAGAGATAGTCTATAAAATAGCTGCCCATACTCTAAAAATGGAAATGTCATGAAACAGAAAAGTCAACACTTTGTTCCAGATTGAATGAGACTAAAGAGATAACAGAAATGAATGTAAGGCTGATCCTGGGTTGGATCCTGGACTGGGAAAAAAGAGTCATCAAAATAATAATTTGGATGTAGGGGTGCCTGGATGTCTCAGTCGCTTAAGCATCCGACTTCGGCTTAGGTCACGACCTCACAGTTTGTGGGTTCAAGCCCCACTTTGGGCTTTGTGTTGACAGGCAGCTCAGAGCCTGAAGCCTGCTTCTGATTCTGTGTCTCCCTCTCTCTCTGCCCCTCCCCTGCTCATGCAGTCTCTCTCTCTCTCAGAAATACATTAAACATTCAAAAAAATTTTTTAAATAATAATATTAATTTGGATATAAATTGCACATTACATTTCTTTACTTTGAATCATTCTGTGACTATGTACAGAAGGCCCTTGTTCTTAGGAAATACATACCAAAAAGTAGGGGTAAAGGGGAATAATGTCTACAGCTTACTCTCAAATGGTTCAAGGAAAAAAACTACATGTGTGAACACATACATGGGAGGTGATAAAGCAAATATGGCAAATGTTAACAACTGTGGTCTTGGGTAAAAGGAATATAATTGTTCTCACAAGTTTTCTGTAAGTTTGAATTTGTTTCAAAATAAAAAGTAAAACGAGAACAATTTAGTATCAGTCAAGGCCCTTTAAGCAGTATTTTATTTATTATTTCATAGGCTTCACACGTGGGGCTTGAACTCACAACCTGAAGATCAAGACCTAAGCAGAGATCAAGAGCTGGATGCCCTACCCACTGAGCCACCCAGGTGCCCCAAGTAAGCAATATTTTAAAAGATTAAAATTTGTGGGGCACCTGGGTGACTCAGTCAGTTAAGTGGCCAAATTAAGCTCAGGTCATGATCTCACAGTTCGTGGGTTCAAGTCCCATGTCGGGCACTTGCTGACAGCTTGGATCCTGGAGCCTGCTTCAGATTCTGTCTCCCTCTCTCTGCCCCTCCCCCGCTCACTCTCTGCCTCTTTCTCTCTCAAAAATAAATAAAACATTTTTTTTAAATTACAAATAGAGGGGTGCCTGGGTGGCTCAGTCAGCTAAGCGTCTGACTTCGGCTCAGGTCATGATCTCACGGTTCGTGGGTTCAAGCCCCACGTCAGGCTCTGTGCTGACAGAGCCTGGAGACTGTTTTGGATTCTGTGTCTCCCTCTCTCTCTGAACCTCCCCTGTTCATGCTCTATCTCTCTCTCTCTCTCGGAAATAAAACATTAAAAAATTTTTAAGAAATAAATAAAATTACAAAAAGAAAGCACAATCACAAGTCTAATATAATTAGGTTACTTTTTAAAAATGCATATATGTGAGAGTTTTTATTAAAGAAGACAGATTCAAAGAATTTTCTTCTTATCCTGAGATCCCACTAAATTAACAATGAGGCAGAGAAATCAAGAGGTAACCGCAACAGAGAGAGATTTCAATGAAGATGCAGTAAGGCAGAGAAGCTATAACCTTCAGTGCTTGAATATGGGTTTCTAATGGTAACCGGCTGATCTCTTCATAACCCTGCGGGACTAGGGAGTTGAATCTCAGGTTCTCTGAGCTGTCAGCACAGAGCCCGACGTGGGGTTGTCACTCACAAGCCGTAAGATCATGACCTTAGCTGGTCAGACACTCATCCGACTGAACCACCCAGGCACCCCATCTAACCACTCAACTTTAGGACTTTTAGCCAGTTCTGGTCAGCCTGTGCTTCCACCCTGTCTAGAGCCTGCTTTGGATTCTGTGTCTCCCTCTTTCTGCCCCTCCCCTATTCACACTCTGTCTCTCTCCCTCTCTCTCCTTCAAAAATAAACATTAAAAAAATAAGTAAAATTTTTAAAAATTAAAAATAAATAAAGTTGAGTCCAGGACCCTCCCCCATCCTATACAGCAGCGGACTGCCCTGCCAGACAACAGGACTCAGTGAATGAGAATGAGACACAAATGCAACTTTGGAAACCCAAATGTAGCAGGTGGAGGAAGCAAAGGGATAAGGAGAAGATGGAAAAGTTTTTCAAAAACTTTGAATGACTTTGAACAACATCAACAAAACCCAACTTGGCTCCCCATCCCTCACTGCCACCAGATCCTGGGTGAAAGGTCCCAGACAAGAGACTGGGAGACTCTTCCTTGGGAAAACCAAACAATCCCAGAAAAAAGACCCCTACATAATCACTCCATGATTGCTGGTAAGTAAAGGCTACCAGGAAGTAAGTCGCATTTGTACACACACAATCTCCAAATGGCTTTTGACTGCCTCCCTCTTAAATGTGAGTCTACAGTAAAAGAACCAACATTTAAGAAAATAAAAAAAGCAGAAACATTCAATAAGAAGCTGATTTAAAAATGAAAGGTTAACTTAGAAGAAGTAATAAAACTAGGGGCGCCTGGGTGGCTTAGTCGGTTGGGTGTCCGACTTTCGCTTAGGTCATGATCTCGCGGTTCGTGGGTTCGGGCCCCGCGTCAGGCTCTGTGCTGACTGCCAGCTCAGAGCCTGGAGCCTGTTTCAGTCTGTGACTCCCTCTCTCTCTGACCCTCCCCTGCTCACGCTGTCTCTCTCTCTCTCTCCTAGAAATAAATAAAACATTAAAAAAAAAAATTTAAAAAAAAAAAGGAAGTAATAAAACTAAAGAAGTATTAAAAGAGGGGCGCCTGGGTGGCTTAGTCGGTTGAGCGTCCGACTTTCGCTCAGGTCATGATCTCGCGGTTCGTGGGTTTGAGCCCCGCGTCGGGCTCTGTGCTGACTGCCAGCTCAGAGCCTGGAGCCTGTTTCAGAGTCTGTGCCTCCCTCTCTCTCTGACCCTCCCCTGCTCACGCTGTCTCTCTCTCTCTCCTAGAAATAAATAAAACATTAAAAAAATTAAAAAAAAAAAAAAAAAAGAAGTATTAAAAGAAAGCTATTATTAATATCCTCAGAGAAATTACAGCTCTATTCATAAAACAAGACCAGAGAGCAATGAAAAACTAGCAACAAGAGAACAAGAAACAGCTCTTAGAAACGAAAAATGAGAGAGAAAATAAATTTAATACTAAGAGCAGAAGATAGTGAACCAAGAGACCATGATGGAAAGTAAAGCATAAATAAGTCTTAGAAAATCAACCCAGGGGCACCTGGGTGGCTCAGTCAGTTAAACGTCCAACTTTGGCTAGATCATGATCTCATGGTTCATGTTTTCAAGCCCCAAGTCAGGTTCTGTGCTGACAGCTCGGAGCCTGGAGCCTGCTTCAAATTCTGTGTCACCCTTTCTCTCTGCCCCTCCCTTGCTTGTGTTTTCTCTCTTTCACAAAAATAAATAAACTCAAAAAAAAATCTGATAAGAAAATATACCAGAATTCTATACTCTAGCCAAATGACATGTGAAAGATCTAAATCTTCATCCAAAATGATTATGGATAATGTTAAAAATTCAAGAAATAGGGGTATCTGGCTGGCTCAATCCCTGGAGCATGCAACTCCTGATCTCAGGGTCGTGAGCTCAAGTCCCACCTTGGGTGTTGAGCTTACTCTAAAAAAAAAGTGGGGGCACCTGGGTGGCTCAGTCGGTTAAGGGTATGACTCTGGGTTTCAGTTCAGGTCATGATCTCACCATCCGTGAGACACAGTTCTCTATGTCAGGCTCTGTGCGGATAGCGTGGAGCCTGCTTGGGATTCTTGCTCTCCTCTCTCTCTCTCTCTGCCCCTCCCCTGAGTGCTCTCTCTCTCAAAATAAACATTTTTAAAAAGTTTAAAACAAAAGTAAAAATAAAAAATAAAATTTCAAGAAATAACATAAGCACTTTATTTAGAAATACTGGGGCGCCTGGGTGGCTCAGTCAGGTCATGATCTCACGGTTTGTGAGTTCGAGCCCCACATCAGGCTCTGTGCTGACAGCTCAGAGCCTGGAGCCTGCTTCAGATTCTGTGTCTCCCTCTCTCTCTGCCCCTCCCCTGCTTGCACGGTCTCTCAAAATTAAAAAAAAAAAAAAATTTTAAGTATATGTTGTATTTTCATTTTAATTCAATTAAAGATTTTTTTAATTTTTAAACATTTATTCATTTTTAAGAGACAGAGTGTGAGTGAGAGAGAGACAGAGAGAGAGGAAGACACAGAATCCGAAACAGGCTCCAGGCTCTGAGATGTCAGCACAGAGCCCGATGCAGGACTCAAAACTCACGGACCACGAGATCATGACCTGAGTTCAAGTCAGACACTCAACCAACTCAGCCACCCAGGCATCCCTAAAAAAAATTTTTTTTAAGAAAAGAATTTCCAGCTCAGGTCCAGGATGCTGCAGAGAAGAGACAAGCTATCCCTGCTACATCCAGTCCAAGTTCCCAGACTACTGAGTCCATGACCAGAATATGTCCAATTTGGGGCTCACCTGGGTTAAAGCTCTGGTAATTGAAACAATACCCAAGAGGTACTTGCACAGGTTTGCGTAAGGAGACATGTTTAGGAATGCTCATGGCACTGTTGCTCTTAATGGCAATAAAAAGAAATTGGTAACAGGAAAATAAATTGTGAAAGAATCACAGAGTGGAAGGCTACACAACAATGAGAACAAATGAACCAGTGCTAACACATCTGCTTGAATAAATCTTACAAATGAAAAAAGTTGCACAGTAGTGAATATAGCGTAATAACATTTATAAAAAGCTCTATGATATGCTAAATAACACAGAGAAGCATACACACATGTAATGATACGAATACAGACATGGGAAGATATTCCCACTATTCACATCAGTCACTCCTAAGAAGGCAGGGGTGATCAGAAATGGGTGCATGGGGGGACTTCAATTATATCTGTGGTATTTTAAATCCGAAGATGAGTGGCTGGTCCACGTGTATATTTTTCTTTTTATATACTTGTAATATTTAAAATATGTTTAAAATAAAAATAAATAGAAGATGCATGTATCAGCATGGTAAATCTCAGAAGCAATGCTGCAAAAAAACAGGTTGCAGGAAGGGGTACGTGGCTGGCTCACTCAGTAGAACATGCAAATCTTGACCTCAGAGATGTGAGTTCAAGCCCCACGCTGGGCGTGGAGCCTACATAAAAATAAAAAAACAAAACAGGCTGCTGCAAGGTATAGGTGGTACAATACAATTCATACATGGATCATAAACATTACTATATACTGTTTATAGACACATGGTTTGGAGCAAAAGTAGAAAGAAATGCGTGGGGAAAACCAAGAGCGAATCCAGCATAGCAGGTAGAAGAGAAAGGAATGGGGTATTTCAATTGTATCTGCAGGCAGCTGGTGTGGACGTTCTATATATTACTCTGTGTGTTCCCCTAGGCTTAACATACAGTGATATAACAAATGCAAACAAAGAAGGTGTCATCACTGGCAACATTAGTATAATTTTAATTCAAAACAACATTCCAGTGATCCTTTGCTGCTTCACAGCCACTCCAACATAATTGTGGTAGGTTTTTGAATAATTAAAAACAATGCCCCCCCCCGCCGCAGTACCAATGAACATGCCTTGTACTAGATCTTCGTTTCTAAATATAATTTCATACTTAAAGGAACCAGGGCTCCTTGGAAACATGAGTGATTTAGGGCTCGGACTGGGAAAGTACAAGATGAGCTTGGAATATCTTGCTGTGCCAGGAAGCGTGCATGTGCTCAGAGAATGACAGAAACGCACCAGAAGGACACAGGAGCCCGCCAGCCAGACGCTGCCCCACTAGCCAAAAGGAGGACAGAGCAAGCAACAAAATAACAACCATAACGACGACAAAAAGAACTGTAACTCACTGAATAAAATAAGAATCCATGAATCCACGCTGACATAAATAAACAAAGGAGAGCAGAGAGGTCCTCCTTTCAGAAAAATGTACAAGGGTAACAGAAAAACCATTTGGCAACCATCACGGTAATTGCTTGTTTCAGGAAAGACTCCTCAGTTGATGCTAAAGCTAGTGGGTCAAAGTCTGATGAGAAGACAGTAACTTACCAAGTCTTAAAATATCCCCTAAAACTTATTAATTCCAAATGGGGAATTATCACTTTAGAGTGGAGACACCAGGCAAACAGCACCTTACCCCAGAGATGAGCGTTAACACCACAAAGGGAACATGGGCCTCCCGAAAGGATATGCTAAGGGCTCAGCTCCCTTCATTCCTGTGCATTACAACAACCTGAATCTGACTGCAAAATATAAACCCACACTGAAGAACATTCTACAACAGTGCTGCCCAACAGAACTTTCTGCAGCACTGGGGTGTCCTCTACCTGCACTGCCCAATGGGGAAGCCACAGCCACATGCGGCCGCTGACAGAATGCTAAAGCACGTAAGGTCAAATGTTAAGATTTAGAATCAACGTGAAAGGTATCTGCAAAGCTCTTATACAATTTTTGCTACGTTCTGTAAGTCTGATATAAGGCAAAGTAAACGGTGCAAGAAGTTTTAAAACCCAGGATTCCATCAAGTACTCACATACAAAAATTATACTATTAATACACATGAGTAAGAACAGTAATAACCAGGGGCACCTGGGTGTCTCGGTTGGTTAAGCATCCGACTCTTGATTTCCACTCATGTCATGATCTCATGGTTCATGAATTTGTGGGTTCAAGCCCTGCATCAGGCTCCGTGGCTGACAGCATGGAGCCTGCCTGGGATTCCGTCTCCCCCACCCCCTGCCCCTCTCCTGCTTGCAGTCTCTCTCTCCCAAAATTAAATAAATAAATAAATAAACAAACAAACAAACAAACATACATTTTAAAAAGAACAGTAATAACCAAAACCATGTGAAGTTCTAATCAAGTATGACATAGTGAACAGAGTGTTTATACCCACTCTCTCCTGAAACCTGACTGGCAGAGAATGAAATACACAGGCTTAGTGATATCATGCGCTGAAAATGGCCCTTTCCCTCAGTGGTCTTTCTCCCAATATTCCATAACTACAGTCTAGCCATGGGAGAAACATCAGACTAATACCATTGGACGTCCAACAAAATCCCTGCCCAGGCCTCCTCAAAACTGTCTAGGTCATCAAAAACAAGGAAAGTCTGGGGCGCCTGGGTGGCTTAGTCGGTTAAGCGTCCAACTTTCGCTTAGGTCATGATCTCGCGGTTCGTGGGTTCGAGCCCCGCGTCAGGCTCTGTGCTGACTGCCAGCTCAGAGCCTGGAGCCTGTTTCAGTCTGTGACTCCCTCTCTCTCTGACCCTCCCCTGCTCACGCTGTCTCTCTCTCTCTCCTAGAAATAAATAAAACATAAAAAAAAAAAAAAAACAAAAAAAAACAAGGAAAGTCTGAGAAACTGTCAGAGGTGAAAGGAGCCTGAGGAAGCATCAGGACACCTAAATGTACTCCGTGGGACCTGGGACTGAGAGAGAACACTAGGTAAAAACAAACGAAATCTGAAAAAGCTATGGAATTTACTTAACAATAATGTATCAATATTGGCTCATTAACTGCTGCAAACATACCATGCTAATGTGAGATGTTAATAACAGAACTGTGCAGGGCATATGGGAATGCGACACTATCTTCTCAGTTTTTCTGTAAATCTGAAAGTGTTGTAAAAAAATAAAGTCTTTTTTTTTTTTTTAACATTTATTCATTTTTGAGAGACACAGAGAGATACAGTGCAAGCGGAGGCGGGGCAGAGAGAGAGAGGGAGATCCAGAATCCGAAGCAGAATCAGGCTCTGAGCCGTCAGCACAGAGCCCAACGTGGGACTTGAACTCACGAACCATGAAATCATGACCTGAGCCAAAGTCTGATACTTAACTAACTGAGCCACCCAGGCACCCCTAAAGTATTTTTTTTTATTTTTTTTTTTTAGGGTTTATTTATTTTTGAGAATGAAAGGGGGGTGGGGCGGAGAAAGAGGGAGAACAGAATCTGAAGCAGGCTCCAGGCTCTGAGCTGTCAGCACAGAGCCCAAAGCGGGGCTCGAACCCACAAACTGTGAGATCAAGACCTGAGCCAAAGTCAGATACTTAACTGACTGAGCCACCCAGGTACCCCCTAAAGTATTTTTTTAAAAAGTGTGACTGTACTCCCTCTCTCTCTGCCCCTCTCCCACTCATGCTCTCTCAAAAATAAATAAAAATTAAAAAAATATATTTACATGTATTATCTTCCTAAAAATAAATATTAAAAAAATCAAAGTAACAACAATCTAATGCAACAGCTGAAGTACTTTCAGATTTCTTTACGTACCATGACAAAGGTTATTAGGACAAACCTAGGGAAAAAAATACCCAACCCAAAACCTAATGCAGTTTCAATGTTATACAAATTCAAACTTTAAGCGACATTACAGCAGAGTGGAAAAATTCTAAATCTAGTTTATTTTATCCATCCAGCCACACAGACCTGATTTATGATAGCTCAAAAGTTGACCCGCTAGAGGCAAAAAGTGTGAGGGAAACACCACAGCTCTGGAAGCTCTGACTTTGTACTTCAAGATAAGACCTAATAGACTCAATCGGGAGAATCTATATTTGCAGCTACAGCAAAGTTATGTAAAAACAAAACAAAACAAAACAAAAAAAACTTGGAAAAAAAATTTTTTTAAATAAATACTGTAAGAGTTTAACATCTAAAACAACTTTTAGCCAGCCCTGTCACAGGTAGGTTTCCATTATTTGTCACTTACATCTTGAAACATTTTGTTTTCCTGTTTCAGTCTTGCTTCTTTATCATCTGAGAGTTTGTAAGCATTCTCAAAGGCTTCTTCTAAATCCTGCAGTCGAGACTTTAGTCGAATGATGGTATTGTCTTTTTCTTTATTACTTGTTCTCATTTCCTCAATCCGTTCCTGCAAAATTTTGGAAGCATTGCTGGCTGCATTGAAGCGTTCTCTGAAATCATTCTACAAAATAAATACAAGGATCATAAATTGTTTTTAAAAAATAGACATTTCAATAGCAGCTAATAAATTGTGGACATCAAACACTAAAAGAAAAGTAATAAAATAAAACCTAAAAATGGAAATCAACAAACTTAATATTTAAATAAAAAGGATTATTCTGCTAAAGTAACAGCTTCAGGGGCACCCAGCTTGTTCAGTCAGTGGAGTGTGTGAAACTTGCTCTCACAGGATACGTTTAAGGCTCATATTGGGTATAGAGATTACTCAAAAATAAAATCTATAGGGGCACCTGGGTGGCTCAGTTGGTTAAGCGTCCAACTTTGGCTCTGGTCATGATCTCGTGGTTCGTGGGTTTGGGCCCCACATCAAGCTCTGTGTTGACAGCTCAGAGCCTGGAGCCTGCTTCGGATTCTGGGTCTCCCTCTCTCTCTGTGCCCTCCCCTGCTCATGCTCTGTGTCTCTCTCTCAAAAATAAATAAACATTGGGGTGCCTGGGTGGCTCAGTCGGTTAAGGGTCCGACTTCAGCTCAGGTCATGATCTCACAGTTCGTGGGTTCGAGCCCTGCATTGGGCTCTGTGCTGACAGCTAGCTCAGAGCCTGGAACCTGCTTCTGATTCTGTCTCCCTCTCTCTCTGACCCTCCCCTGCTCATGCTGTCTGTCTCTCTCTCTCTCAAAAAAATAAATAAAACATTAAAAAAATTTTAAATAAATAAACATTAAAATAATTAATTAATTAATTAGCATCAGACTATTGGCCTAAGCTCAAGTCATAGTCTCACGGTCCATGGGTTCAAGCCCCACGTCTGACTCTGTGCTAGCAGCATAGAGCCTGCTTGGGATTCTCTGTCTCTTTCTCTCGGCCCCTCCATTGCTTGTGCTATCTCTGTCTCTCTCAAAATAAATAAAACTTTAAAAATTTTCTAAAAAAAAATATTCAATCAATAATAGCTTCATGAGACTGTCATGAAATACAGACAGAAAACCATTTCTGGCATTGTACTGCTGGACTCACCTGTAGGTCACTTTAATGAAAAAAATAACCATGGCTATTAAGAAAATGATTTTGAAAGGGCAGCTGGAGTCTGTTGCCCCACATTAATATTTAGGAAAAATCAAGCATTTCTTACCCTATTCTCTTACTTACTACGAAAATAAAACATTCAAAATACATCTCAATGTTAATGTTCATTCAACAACCATTTCTTGAATATCCACTAGGTACCAGGCACTAGGGTACAAGAAATAGAAGATTAGCAAGAAAGACCAGTCCCTGACTTTGAGAAGTTCACAGTTTAGGAGACAAAGACAACTTAAAAAAAAAAAAAAGATCAAAGAAAGACAAAGAAATAGTTCACAGAACATAACTGGCATTTTCCATCAAAATGTTACTAACAAGATTTCACATAGAAGAATAAAACTTGGTAACACATGAAAAAGTATTTTAAAATATTAAAATATTAAGCATCTGACTTCAGCTCAGGTCATGATCTCATAGTTCCCAAGTCTGAGTCCCTCATAGGACTCTGTGCTGACAGCTCAGAGCCTGGAGCCTGTTTTAGATTCTGTGTCTCCCTCTCTCTCTGCCCCTCCTCCGTTCACGTCTATCTGTCTCTCTTAAAAATAAACATTAAAAAAAATTTAATTTTTGGGGCGCCTGGGTGGCTTAGTCGGTTAAGCNAAAAAAAAAAAAGGACTTTAGGGGCGCCTGGGTGGCTTAGTCGGTTAAGCGTCCGACTTTCGGTCAGGTCATGATCTCGCGGTTCGTGCGTTCGAGCTCCCCGTCGGGCTCTGTGCTGACTGCCAGCTCGGAGCCTGGAGCCTGTTTCAGTCTGTGACTCCCTCTCTCTGACCCTCCCCTGCTCACGCTGTCTCTCTCTCTCTCTTCTAGAAATATATAAAACATTAAAAAAAAAATTTAATTTTTAAGTTTATGTATTCCTAGTTATACATCCAAGAAAATTTAAAACCTAAGTCCACATAAAATCTTGTATACAAATATTCAAGTAATAATAGTCAAAAAATCAAAACAACCCAAACATCCATCACCTAATGAATGAATAAACATGGTCTATCCACAACAGAGTATTATTCAACCATAAAAAACAATGAAATACATATCCATGCTACAGCATGGATAAATCTTGAAAACAATCCTAAGTGGAAGAAGCTGGACACAAAAGGTCACATATATATGATTCTATTTATACCAATGTCCAGAATAGGCAAATCCAAAGCACAGAAAGTAGGGTAGTGCTTGCTCAGGGCTGGAAACAAGGGGTTTTGGGGTGAGGAGGGAAAGGCTGACGGTTAACGGTTTCAGAGTTTCTTTTTATTTATTTATTTATGTTTTTAATGTTCTTTTATTTATTTGTGAGACAGAGAGAGGAGGAGAGAGTGAGCCGGGGAAGGGCAGGAAGTGGGAGAGAGAATTCTGCTGCCAGCACCAGAGCCTGGTGTGGAGCTCAATCTCATGAACCTTGAGATCATGACCTGAGCCGAAATCAAGAGTCAGACACTCAACCAACTGAGCCATCCAGGTGCCCCCGGGGCTTCTTTCTGAGTGAGAAAATATTCTGAGCTAGCTGTCAGCACAGAGCCTGACATGGGGCTCGAACCCACAAACCGTGAGATCATGACCTGAGCTGAAGTCGGACGCTTAACTTACTGAGCCACCCAGGCACCCCTTGAGTGAGAAAATATTCTACAACTGACTGTAGTGATGCTTGCACAAGTTTGCAAATATACTAAAAACCACAGAATTGTACACTTTCAGAGAGTGAGTTTCATGATATACAAATTATACCTCAATAAAAATAATAAAAACCTTGGGACGCCTAGTGGCTCAGTAGGTTAAGTGTCTGACTTCAGCTCAGGTCATGATATTGCGGTTCGTGGGTTCGAGCCCCGCGTCGGGCTCTGTGCTGATGGCTAGCTCAGAGCCTGGAGTCTGTTTCAGATTCTGTGTCTCCCTCTCTCTCTGACTCTCCCCTGCTCATGCTGTCTCTCTCTCTCTCTCAGAAATAAATAAAAACATTAAAAAATAATAATAATAAAAACTTTAAAGGGTAAAAGTATCTTATCCTATGAAGCCAGTAGCATTCAAAATATAAACTTACTTAAGACAACCTAAAGGTTAAAAACACATAGCCAATGTTTTCATAAAACTATTAGTTTGTCTCTAAAGTTCAGTTAATAAAAAGGCTTACATTCTTAACATTAAGCCACTCAACAACAAAAGAGTACTTACGACTTCTATTTCCAGCAAATTGTTCTTATTTTCAAGTGCTCTCACACGACTAGTTGCTTCATTCAGAGCACTATCTAATTGGCCACATCTAAAAACCATAAGTTGAAAAGAAACATTAGCAGATAAAATCCTTTCCCTTAGAAGTATTCTATAAATCCGATTCTCCAATATATAATACAAAACAAATCCTCCAATGTTAGTGAACACTCAGGGTGCCATTTTCATAAAATACATCCCAATAAACCTGATATCATTTTCCAGAGATTATAATATGAAAAGATCTCTAATAGGTAAGTGAGAAAGGAAAACTACGAAAGACATTTGTACACCCGTGTTGACAGCAATATGCACACTAGCCAAAAGAGGAAGCAAGCCAAGTGTCCCTGAGAGCTGAATGGACAAACGAAATGTGGTCTATCCATGCAGTGGAATAGGATTCGGCCTTAAAAAGGATGGCTGTCCAAAGCCTGCTATGATGTGGATGAACCTTGAGGGCATTATGCTCAGTGAAGTAAGCCAGACACAGAAGTTTGCTTCCACTTGTACCCAAGTTCATCTGAGGCGTTAAATTCATAGACAGAAAGTAGGATGGTGGGTACTAGAGGGTGGGGGTGCTGGGAATACAGACTTGTTGTTTAATGGGTACAGGGGATCAGGGTTGCAAGATGGAAAGTTCAAGTTGCGAGATGGATGGTGCTGATAGTTGCCCAAGAACATGAATGTACTTTATACCAGCAAAATGGTTAACATGGTAAATTTTGTTATTTATATTTTACACTAAAAAATAAAATTTTAATTTAAAAATACAAGATATAAAAGAATGCATAAACTGCTTGATCTTTGTTACGAAAAAAAAACTACACATAAATATGTGTATTGTTAATTCTAGGAAATAAAACTTAAGTCTGGAAACTTAGAGGTCGGGTAGGGAGACTTTTCATATTCTATCCCTCTGCACTTTTCCACATGAGTATGAATGTATTCTTATAATTAAAGACCTTCTTCATAAAGTTAATCATCACATAACCTTAAAATCGTAAAAAACACAGAAGAATTCGGTTATCATTGTGACTCCATGTTCATGAGTACAAAACAATATTTATTTGGCATTCATTACATGTCAAGTCCATGTTAAGCACTTACATTCATCCTCACAATCCTGAGTTAGGACTGTCATCATTAGCATTTTACAGATGAGAAAACAAAATGAAGCTGAATTCCTCTTGGGTTATAAGCCATCATATTACACATTATATCACATCACTTCTAAACCCAGCAGTCTGGCTCCAGAGGTCACGTTCCTAACCACTGTGCGTTGATGCCACATAGAAATGAAATATGGATTAAACCATTCTAGAAAGAAAGAGCACTAAATAGTCAAGTGTAGGTGTGTTAACTCTATTTCTGTTTTAATTCTCACACTGAGTCTGGCAGAAGATTGTGTCACACAGCAATCTGACATTGCAGCTGGCCCTCAAGAGAAGTGTCCATGGCCCAATGTACAAGAGAAGAGTCTGTGGCCCCATGTACAAGAGAAGCGTCCATGACCCCGTCTACAGAAGTGTCCATGGCCCCATGTACAAGAGAACTGTCCGTGACCCCGTCTACAGGAGAAGTGTCCGTGGCCCTATCTATAAAAGAAGTGTCTGTGGTCCCGTCTACAGAAGAGTCCGTGGCCCCATGTACAAGAGAAGTGTCCGCGGCCCCGTCTATAGGAGAAGAGTCCGTGGCCCCATGTACAAGAGAAGTGTCCGTGGCCCCATCGGCAGGTCCAGGGGGGTTCTCCTATTTTAACTTTAGGTCTGAAAAACCCTGATGTGTATGCTGACAACTTAAACTTGGTTTTCATCTTTGGTGAATCATTTCAGTTCTGGATGCCTGCAACCACTGCTATGCATTTGCATGCTGTCCTTCGGCCCACCCCAGTGCCCTGACTGCTGCTGTCCCTGTTAGGACACAGCCATTTACTCAAACCCTGACTTCCGATCTGTCCTACCCACACTGCCTCACCACTCTATGGCTCCAGCAGCTTCTAGACAGACAAGTGCGTTAATCAGCTATCATTCCTAGGTGCCTTCTCTGGTGGCCTATCTTTAACCCAATGAGGTCTACTGGCTTCTTTCATACTCATTTTCCCCAGGAAGGACCTACAGTCATCTTTGACTTCTTAAAAACAAACAAACAACAACAACAAAACGAGAACCACCTTCCCCTAGCCTGCTATCTACTCTTTTCCTTTTATCCCAGACAACCTATCCCTGGCTGTTTTCATATTACTGCCCTCGACCACGGCACTCCCAGTCTCACCCTCAATCCCACCTCCAGCCCCACCCCCAGCAGCACAACAGAGCTGTAGTAACACTCAGGTAGTTGACAGCACGTTAACTACACAGCAACCACAAACCAATATAAAGGCTAGTTTTCCTACAATTCTTCAAGTTAAACTATTAACTGGACCCAAAGATTTCAGTTCCCTCCTAATCTTTTTTCAAGGGGCTTTGTCTTTTTTTGCCTTAAAAAACAATACTTTGCTGCTATACTGACCTAAGGAGTTGTTGTTATTTTTTAATGTTTGTTTATTTTTGAGAGACAGAGAGAGTGCAAATGAGGGAGGGACAGAGAGAGAGAAAGGGGGAGGAAGAGGATCCCAAGCAGGCTCCACACTGTCAGCGCAGAGTCTAATATGGGAGAGATCATGTGAGATCATGGCCTGAGCTAAAATCAAGAGCTGGACACTTGGGGTGCCTGGCTGGCTCAGTTAGTTAAGTGCACTGACAGCACAGAGCCTGCTTGGGATTCTATCTCCCCCTCTCTCTTCTCCTCCCCTGCTCTCTCTCTCTCAAAATAAATTTAAAATTTTTTAAAGGGGGGTGTTGCATGGGTCGCTCAGTTAGTTAAGCGTCTGGTCATGATCTCACGGTTTGGGAGTTGGAGCTCTGCATCGGGCTCTCTGCTCAGCGCCCACTTTGGGTCCTCTGTCCCCCTCTCTCTGCTCCTCTGCCCTACTCCCCTCTCTCTCAAAAATAAATATTTAAAAAACAACAAAAAAAAAGAATAGACTGAGCCACCCAGGTGCCCCAAACTGGGCTTTCAATCTTATTTAAATCCTATTTAAATGTAAAGTATGTTGCAAGTATGCTGTTATTAATACTAGTGAAGGCATCAAATTTTGTTAATGATTCTCTCCTTAAAACAGGTATACAGGGGCGCCTGGGTGGCTTAGTCGGTTAAGCGTCCGACTTTCGCTTAGGTCATGATCTCGCGGTTCGTGGGTTCGAGCCCCGCATCGGGCTCTGTGCTGACTGCCAGCTCAGAGCCTGGAGCCTGTTTCAGCCTGTGACTCCCTCTCTCTCTGACCCTCACCTGCTCACGCCGTCTCTCTCTCTCTCCTAAAAATAAATAAAACATTAAAAAAAAAAAAAAAAAAAAAAAAAAACAGGTATACAGGTATCTTTAACATAACTGTCCCCCGTGTTTCCATGTTGGTTACTTGTCTGTACAGGGTAATTGCTTACACAGGTTCAGGAATGTCTGGGTTCAAGTTCCTTAGGCAAACAGGTCTCTGTTAAAAATTTCAAATCTAAAGCACATCTTTGCAAAGTGTTTCATCACAATTAAATATACTTAGGAAAAAATAACATATCCATCGGAGAAATCCTAACTTTATAGCTGAAGTGTAAGTTTTACCTGTCCACGAGAATTTGATTGGTTTTCTTCCAGTCTTCAACTGCAGAAATCTCCTTTGCCTCCAGTTTCTGTTTCAAAGTATTTATTTCTGACTCATAATAAGCTCGAAGATCGGCTATGTGTCGAGCATGCTTCTCCTTCAGATTCTGCCGAATCCTGTAGGTGAGGGCAAAATAATTTCTTAGTAAAAAATTTCCGGGGCGCCTGGGGGACTCAGTCGGTTAAGTCTCCAACTTCGGCTCAGGTCATGATCGCGCGGTTCGTGGGTTCGAGCCCCACGTCAGGCTCTGTGCTGAGAGATAGCTCAGAGCCTAGAGCCTGTTTCAGATTCTGTATCGCCCTCGCTCTCTGACCCTCCCCTGTTCACACAGTCTCTCTCTCTCAGAAATAAATAAAACATTAAAAAAAATTTTTTTTAATTTCCTCACTCTCCACTTCACAAGGGAAACCAAGAACACTATATTTCTCGAAAGCAAAACTATAGTCTTCCTCTGGACACCCACAGAAAACATAACAGATCAATATACATGCTGACAACTAATTAAGTAAAAAAACAAAGACATGGATTAATTTTTAGATGCTCTACCTTAAAAATGCTGTATCTCTTTTTTTTTTAAGACTTTATACATTAGTGAAAGTCAATAAAAATCATTTTCATCATTCAAGCAGACATCAGAGAAAATCTAGTAACATTACAAGCCACGCGCTGAAACACATACTTAGAAAGTATCACAGGGTCTTCCAGGGAAGTCAGTGAAATGCATTCTGGGACACTGTTGGCCGTCGCTGGAAGCTGAGACTGACTGGCTGAGGCTGAAGTTACTGTGACGGTGTTTTCTTCGTCTACAGTGTTGACCGAGATGTCATTACTAGCAGTAGTGCACACCGACGGAAACACGGAGCTGCTCCTACTGTCGCTTGGGAATCCGTGATTTTTCCAAGAGTCCACTGGTGATGCTTTTGTATTTGAAGGATATTTTGGGAATCCAGATGACTGAGAAGCAATATTACTTGCTTGTGAAAATGAGTCTATGTCAGAGTGACTAGACATACTGGGGTCTAGAACAGAGTCTGGCGAAAAGGATATTCTGTCATCGAGGGCGTTCAAAAAGCCTTGTGGTTGAATCCCTGAAATCTGATTTGGCTTCATGTGTAACGTTGGATCTAGAGTTAGTACCTAGAAATTAAGGCAGACAACAGTAAGGTTTTGCCCTCAGCACTCAGTGTGTGTTTTTAAGTGAGTAAGCTTTAGATCTCCTAGGGAAAATAAAGCTTGAGATAAAGGTTGAGAGTCATGAAGCATCTTTCATTTTCATTCAGCAGGGTGTTGCCAACTTTACCTCTGGTGGATGATTTGGGTTGGAAGCAGAAGTGAGATTCCTCTCAGGTAACTGCTTGTTTTCCCTTTGTTTTTTATGATAAATATCCTTCAGTGATGGTAGCTTCATCTCATTACTAGTATTAGACTTAAAGATATGAAACAAAATTATTTAAGTGGTATCATCAATGATGAAAAAAGTTCACTGATATCAAGATCAGCACCACAAAAAGATTTCTGAAAGATTTTAAATGCACTGAGACTCCAGGCTGTCAGACTTATAAAACAAGTTTCGATGTCATTACCCATTAATTATGAGTCTCCCTCAGAATGAAAAAAAAAAAATTGTATCCCCTAATAATAAATATTAAGGTGATAATCTGAACCTAGGTTATTCAGTAGCCTCAGAATACTTCCAAAGAATTAAAAACCATGGTAGTTCTCCCTACTCAAGATAAAAACGAATTTTTGAGGTAAGAAAAGACTTCACGATGAAAGAAGGAATCCGTTTTAAGAAGGCTTCTGGCTAGATTAACACTGTGTGACTCAAGGAGACAGGTATACGGAGATGGAGTTCCTTACCTATTTTCCTACTTTTTTAATAGTTGGCAGGAGCGCCTGGGTGGCTCAGTCAGTTAAGCATCTGACTTCAGCTCAACTCATGATCTCACGGTTCGTAGGTTCGAGCCCTGCATTGGGCTCTGTACTGACAGCTAGCTCAGAGCCTGAAGCCTGTTTCGGATTCTGTATCTCCCTCTTTCTCTGACCCTCCCCCACGCTGTCTCTGTCTGTCTCTCTCTTTCTCAGAAATAAATAAAACATTAAAAAAAAAAAAAAAAGAGTTGGCAGACCAAGAAAAAGTGTCAAGAAGTTACCCAATGGAAATAAGCTCCCTTTTAAGTTAATAAAATAAGAACATATGACCCTAATTCCTACAGCTTGAAATCAGGCTTTGTCATGCTGGAAATGTTGCAAAGAGGGCTAAGCTCCAAATAGTAAAACCCCAGCCTCAAATCACTTCAAAGTGGGACCTACTGTAGGGCATGATGGGGTATCGTTTAACTCAGGCCTCAAATTTAAACTCTCTTAAACGGAGTTATGGATTCAGCAAGAGATACATTGAAAGCACTCGAAGAATATATTCACATATAGCTTTAAATGTGTGTCCCATTTCCACACCCTACACAAGCTGCAGCTTACCATAAATTAATATGTTTTAATAAACCCTGTAACTAGTTTGTGGATATGACAAACTTTTTACTTGTGCATTAAAGGCATTAATTTTCTGAATGTAAACCCTTAAAATTTACCACAATTTCTGTAATCCTACTCTGGAATTTTACTTTTTTTAATTAAAAAAATTTTTAATGTTTATTTCTGAGTGAGAGAGAGGGGAGTGGGAGGGGCAAAGAGAGGAGGAGACAGAATCGGAAACAGGCTCCAGGCTCCAAGCTGTCAGCACAGAGCCCGATGTGGGGCTCGAACCCATGAACCGCGAGATCATGACCTGAGCTGAAGTCAGACGCTTAACCGACTGAGCCACCCAGGCGCCCCTGGAATTTTACTGTTTTTACACCAACAACCTAAATGCCCCTTTCAAGCTGGAAGCCTGTGACAAGCAGGGCACTCTGCATACGGCCCTGAGCCTGGGGGCTCTCTGCCCACTGCCGCTCCAGACCTGGAGGAGCCCCACCAGGGCACACTGCTGGAATGACTCTATTCAGAGCTCGTGGTAGCGTAAGGAACCAATCCTCGCCATTTTCCACTTCTGTGATTTCCTTTCACATTTTAACATCTCTGAAGTTAGGATGCCTCTTGTAATTAATGGCATCTTAACACTGCTTTCAGTCAAGGGGCATTCGTGACATAACCGTCATTGCCTGCTCATAAGCACATATCGAAGGCATCCAAATTGGCCAGGTGTCAGCAGCAGAAGCCCTGAGAACCAGTATGTAAGGGATGGTGAATCACAGATGTTTAGCAACCTTCCCCATCTGGGGGCGGAAAGGAGGCCAGTTCTACAGAACTACCAGGCCCGGTAAAAACTCAGCGCCAAGGCCTTGCGCCCGAGCCAATCCCCAAAGCTCCTGATGGCTCCAGGACGACGGGACGTGGAAAACAGAGAAACCAACACTGAGGTGGAAAGAGAGCGCAAGCCTCTGGAGGCGAAAAAGTTTTAACCAATTTATTTCACTTATATCATCCTTTTTAAGTACGTATAAGAGTTGTATGACAAAAACCAATGTTCGATTACAAGGTCTATGAGCTCTTTGAGTAAGAATAAAATACAAATTCTAAGTTGTGAGAAAGCACTGATACAGTGCTTTTTGTTTTTGTTATAATAATTTTTTTTAAGTTTATTTACTTCTTTTTGAGAAGGAGAGTGAGCAAATGAGCAGGGGCGGGGGAGAGAGAAGAGAGAGAGGGAGAGAGAGAACCCCAAGCGGACTCTGAGCTGTCAGCACAAGAGCCTCATGTGGGGCTCCCGCTCATGAAGCACGAGGTCACGACCTGAGCCAAAACCAAGAGTAGGAGGCCCGGCCAGCTGCGCCACCCAGGCGCCTGAGGATAATTTGTTGTTGTTGTTAGACTATGAAACAGGAAGTTTTAAAATTGTCAGTATCTTAGAATCACCAAAATACAGTATTCACTTATTACTGATGGTGCAGATCGCATCACACACACAGTGAGCTCTGTAATCACACAGCCCACCGCGGCTTCCGGCCCCTCGCAATCTCACTCCCCAGCTTTCCTTTCCTGGTGTTTATCTGTCTCTCTCTTTTGCTGCTTTCCTGAAGGACGGCATGCTGGTTTCTACCCCTCTCTGGTCCTCCGATGTCTATGCGTATGCTGTCTCCCCACTGCCGCACGACGCCGGTTCCTCGTGCTGAGAGAGCTCCTGGCTACCTTCACTGTAATCTCTCCTTTCCCCAACCTACTTTCCCACCACCTGAATGTACACATGCTGGGTAAAGAAAATATTTACATTTTGTGCTCAAAGAAAATGATTACAGCAAATTAAAATGCTCAGCATTATGGTACAAATGGATCCGCAGGAGGGTAGAATAGGATGGAGAATCAAAACCAGATGTAGGAACAGCGGAAGTGGTTATCTGCAGACCTACTATATTCAGAATGGTGGGCACAAAATCATCCATTTGATTTTACAACACATTAGCCGGGCATTTTTAATTCCATTTTTAAGTAACTTTCCTATGATCGATCACAAAGGCAACGGATGAGAGACCACATTTGAAACCAAGTACAATTTAAAGCCCACACTTCTTTTGGGGCACCTGGGTGGCTCAGTCAGTTGAGCATCCGACTTCAGCTCAGGTCATGATCTCATGGCTTGTGAGTTGGAGCCCTGTGTGAGGCTCTGTGCTGACAGCTCAGAGCCTGGAGCCTGCTTCAGATTCTGTGTCCCTCTCTCGCTCTGCCCCTGCCCTGCTCACGCTCTGTCTCTGTCTCTCTCCTTCTCAAGGATAAATAAAACAATAAATAAATAAAGCCCATGCTTCCTTCAGTATATCAGAAATTGGAAAAACACAAAATTTATAACGGAACAGGACACTGAACTGTAACTGTATGACACAAACACATACACACAAAGTGTTTTAACTCACCTGGCCTGGTGACCTATCTCCAGAGGACGGTGCAAATCCCTTCTCTAAAGTCTCAGGCAAAGAGTGATACATGTCCTTCTCCTCCAGCTTCCAGTAAGTCAGTCCTGTTGTGCACAAATACACAGAAGAGAAGACTGAGGAAAGAGAACAAAAATGCCTTCTAGAATAACTTACTTCTACCTACAGAAAATTAAATACAACTAGTTTTTGGCTATCTAGATACAGGAAATTGAATTTTGATGGGAAAAGAATCTCTTAAATGCCTTACCATGCAAGAATTCTAATTTGAAGATCGAAATTTTTAAAACTGAATTATACGGGTGCCTGGGTGGCTCAGTCGGTTAAGCATCCGACTTCGGCTCAGGTCATGATCTCACAGTTTGTGGGTTCGAGCCCCACGTCGGGCTCTGTGCTGACAGCTCAGAGCCTGGAGCCTGCTTCAGATTCTGTGTCTCCCTCTCTCTCTGACCCTCCCCTGCTCACGGTGTCTCTATCTCTTTCTCTCAAAAATAAATAAAACATTTTTTTAAAAAACCCTGAAATATATCAGTAAAGGTCAAGATGTGGGTGCCTACTGGCTTAGTTGGAGAAGACTGCAACTCTCGATCTCGGGGTCATGAGTTCAAGCCTCATTCTGGGTGTAGAGACTATTTAAAAATATGTTTTTAAAGTCAAGATAAACTAGGGACACCTGGGTGGATCAGTCAGTTAAGCGTCCAATTTCGGCTCAGGTCATGATCTCACGGTTCATGGGTTCAAGCCCCGTGTCGGGCTCTGTGCTGACAGCTAACTCAGAGCCTGGAGCCTGCTTCAGATTCTGTATCTCCCTCTCTCTCTGACCCTCTCCTGCTCATGCTGTCTCTCTCTCAGAAATAAATAAAACATTAAAAAAAAATTTTTATTAAAAAAAGTCAAGATAAACTAGTGCAATTTAAAGTGTATTTCTTTAAAAAAATAATTTCTTTATGAATAAAAAAACAATTTCTTTATGAATAGCACAGACTTAAATAGAAACAATATAAAGAATTCAATGTATCAGGGGCACCTGCCTGGGTGGCTGAGCCGGTTAAGCATCCGTCTCTTGACCTCCACTCAGGTCATAATCTCTCAATTTGTGAGCTCAAGCCCCACATCGAGCTCTGCACTGACAGCACGGAACCAGCTTGGGATTTTGTCTCCCCTTCTCTCTGCCCCTCCCCAACTTGTACACACACTCACATGCTCTCTTTTTCTCTCTCAAAAACAATAAACTTTAAAAATTAATAATAATAATAATAATTCAGTGGTTCAAATACATACTGAGTGTTTACCATGCCAGGCTGGGGAGCAGAAAATGTGAGACACGAACAGTAAGTAAATCACAACATATACACAGTAGGTTAGAAGGCAGTAAACACCCTAATGGTAAGACTGAAAAATCAGGTAAAAGGAAATATGTAGTGTGTGTGGAGGGGTGCCCAGGGTTGGCTTGCTGCAAGGTAACAAAATAAAGTTAGTCATTTTAGCCATGTATGAGGAAGATCCCCTGTATAAGGGGTGAAGAGAACATTTCAAATGTAGGAAGCAGCAAAGCAAAGCCCTAAAATGAGAACCTACCTGGCACATTTAAGCACACAGCCTCTCTGCTGAAGCAGAGAAAGGGAGCAGCAGAAAATGAGGTCAAACAGAACAAGGTTAGATCTTGTTGAGCTTATGGGCGCCTAGACAACTCTGGCTGTTACTCGGAGGGAAAGAGCATAGAAGGGTTTTGCGCAAAGGAGTCACATGACCTGACCCATCTTTAAAAAGGACTATTTAGGCTACCGTGTGGAGAACAAATGGAAGGGTGCAAGGGTGAGGGCATGGATGCTGAGCAGGAAGTTGCAGGAACCCAGGTGACAGGTGATGGGGGTCTATTAGGGTGACAGCATGACAGTGGCTGAATTCTGGCAATTTTCATCAGGCAAAGCTAATTTTTCCTGACAAACTGGATGATGTGGGATTGTGTGGGGGCGAGGGGGGGGAAGAGATCAGTATGTTAAGTCATTAAAATTAGAATAAGCTTACCATGGAGAGTAAAGAATGACTCACAAAGGGTTTGAATGTCTTAATTCATTTTGGAGCATCTGAAAAATGCTGAGATGGCTTTTGCCATTGTTTGAAACAACTGCAAAAGTATTTTTTTCATCTATCTTTACAGAATGTGACACAAATCGAAGTTATAGTTAGCAGGGGCCCAACACAACAGAACACGTTCACAGAAAGCACGCTAATACACTGATAGAATTAGCATCCTGTGAGAAATGCAGACAAGTTGTTATTTAAAAAAAAAAACAAATAACAAGTCTCATACCTGTTCCTGAATCAGACATCCAAGGATTTGGACTCTCATCTGGTTTATTGAGGTAAAAAGCATGAGGATGCTTGGCAGCAGTGAAATTAGACTGCAATGCAAGAAAGAAAACTATCAGTTGACAGCTAAAAATCATTAGGCACAAACTACTGACCCAAGGAAAGAGAGCCAGGTATCAAACTAAGGGACAGCCACAGCCTCAGAGGGCTGAGGAAGAACTAAGAAGGTCCTGTTTTCCCCTTGATAACAAGAATGCAAAATGATAGAAATTAACCGGGAAGGAGTTTCTTTTCCTGTGTGTTTATAAAAGTTTATTTTGGTTCTGTGCGGCTGGAAGAACACTGGGGGCTGGTGTTACTTAATGAGTTCAGAATGAAAATGTATTTATGATATGCCATTACATCCAAAAAAATTCAAAGCACCTAGAATTAAAGTCATTTAGTATAAAAATTAACATAAAAGCTGTAACAATTCATTTTTATCACTAAAAGCACAATAGCTCAGGAGTGTCTGGGTGGCTCAGACAGTTAAGCATTCAACTTTGGCTCAGGTCAAGATCTCTTAGTTCATTGGTTCAAGCTCCGCATCGGGCTCTGTGCTGACAGCTCAGAGCCTGGAGCCTGCTTTGGATTCTGTGTCTCCCTCTCTCTCTGCCCTTCCCGTTTATGCTTGCTCGCTCACTCTCTCTCAAGAATAAATAAACATTAACTTGAATGCTGACAAAAACTGAGGACTGATGGATGTGGGGGGGAGGGGGGGATGGGCATGAAGGAGGGCACTTTGGGGATGAGCACTGAGTGTTATGTAAAAACTAATTTGACAATAAACTATTTGTAAAAAAAAAAAAATAAATAAATCAGTAAAAAAAAAAAAGAATAAATAAACATTAAAAAAATTTTATTTAAAGTACAATAACTCAAACTCTGAGAAACACAAATCGATTACAAATATGAACTTCAAATAGTTGACTATGTCTTACATATAGACGACTGGTTACTAGTCCCAGAAAAGGCTTGAAATGCTGATCACCAATTCTAATAAAAATTCTGAGCTGACTGCTCCTCACAGTATCTCTGGCATGGCCACGAGAAATTCCCATGGCCACCCTCCCACCCCATTTAAACCTCAAATCGCAGGGGCACCTGGGTGGCTCAGTTGGCTAAATGTCCAACTTTGGCTCAGGTAATGATCTCACAGTTCACAAGTTCAAGCCCTGGTTCGGGCTCCGTGCTGACAGCTGAGAGCCTGAGCCTGCTTCAGATCCTGTGTCTCCCCCTCTCTCTGCCCCTTCCTCGTGCTCTCTCTCTCTCTCCAAAATAAAAACATTAAAAAAAAAAACCCTCAAGTATCAAACAAACTTGTTTCCCCTAATGCTTTAATACCAAAAATTTGGATTTGGATTCTGTCTCCCTCTCTCTGCCCCCCTCTCTCTGCCCCTCCTCCACCCACACTCTGCCTCTCTCTTGCTCTCTCAAAAATAAACATTTAAAAAACTAAAACAAAAAAGGAAAAATACAACTTGTTCAGGAGATGATTAAAGAAAAGGAAAAGCTCAAGGGACCATGTGTTCCCTGCTGACTTCAGCAGCATAGCCCCCGACCCGGCAGACTCACCCTCAAGGCCATTTCCCAGGGGATCATCTGCCGAGTGGACTCGAGGAGGAAAATGAGACGAGGCCAGGGGTTCCCAAGCTTTGCAGCACACAGAACCACCAGAGAAGCTTCTGCACTTCCCACTACACAAGTCACAGCCAGGCCACACATGGCAGAGCACCTGGGCTGTCCACCAGGCAGGAGCGGATTTTTTTTTAAGTACCTCAGGTGACTCTCACATGTGGCCAATCTGGGGACAACCCACTGGGCCACAGAAAACAAGCAGAGAGATAGCCACAAAACACAGTAAGAAAACTACTGAATCCACCAAGGTATATACCAAAGACCCCAAGTTTATCACAGGTGAAAAAGTCTCCACAAGACAGAGTCTGTTTTGTTTTTTGCTAGCCTCCCCAAGACTGAGTTTTAGTTCATGTAAAAACAGAAGAGAAACAGCGTATATGAAAACGCGTTCTTTTTCTGCCAACCTATTCCAACGGAAAAAGCAACTTTCACCCCGTCTCTAAATAACCTTACGCGTCACACAAAACAAGGACATGCCATCCCAATGGCACGTGGTGCAGTTGGTACTACAGGGCAAATATAGGGGAGGCCGGCCGCCCCTGGGGCTTATGCACCCTCACTTCCCTCCTGAGCACAAATCTGTATAGGTTCCGAACGGTGATCTGAGAAGCCTAAGTATCACAGGCTGAAGAAAACTTACGGAAAGAAAATAGTGCTTTATAAAGGTTGAGGGACTGTCTTAGGATTCTATTTAATCTTTTTCACAGGATAATGGAAAGACCATGTTTACAGCGATCAAGACCAGGGGCGCCTGGGTGTTTACAGTCCGTTAAGCATCTGACTCTTAATTTTGCCTCAGGTCATGATCTCACAGTTCATAAGTTCAAGCCCTGCGTCCAGCTCTATGCTCAGCTCAGCACAGAGAATGCTTGGGACTCTCTCTCTGTCTCTCTCAACTCCCCTCCCCTGCCCAAGCATGAACTCTCTCTCTCTCTCAAAAAAAATAAACATTTTTAAAAAGTGGCTAATTTCTAACGGTATCAAGTTTGCAGAGAAATGTAATTTTGCGATCTCAATTCAATATCACAGAATAAACATTACTCTATATGATGATTTAAGCCAAAAGGACTTCAAAGATGTCTATAACCTACTCGATAGCTACACCTCTTTAATGAGACCAGCTGCTAGATTAGCACAAGGGCCACACAGAATTCAAACATTTAATCTCTTACAATTTAGATTATAAATTCAGTACTACTTCTTACAACTTAATAGTAATATAAGCTATTTGAGAGGGTTGTTTTTTTTTAATTTTAATGTTTATTTATTTTTGAAAGAGAGAGAGAGACAGAGTGTAAGTGGGGGGAGAATAGAGAGAGACGGAGACACAGAATCTGAAGCAGGCTCCAGGCTCTGAGCTGTCAGCACAGAGCCCGATGTGCAGCTAGAACTCACAAACCATGAGATCATGACCTGAGCCAAAGTCGGATGCTCAACTGACCAAGACACCCAGGCAGCCTATTTGAGAGTTTAAAAAAAAAAAAAGTTAAATGGATTATTCTCTGGCTAAGTATAAACAGTTAAAGTACAAAGAGAATTAAGACATTTACAAAATGGTTGTCATTTTCTATAGTACTTTATATCATTAGTTTTGATTTCCAGACTTCTAAAGAACCAAGAGCAAATCATTGTTTCCAATCTTCCGGGACACCCAGAGGAAGACAGGTCAATGGAACAAATTAATAATACAAAAGAAAGGGCAAAAACTTATGTTGACGAGCATGTAGTAAACTCCACATAATTATCAGTAGCTGAAGCCAGAATAAAGTGACTCATCACCTACCTTCTCACCTGGTGACTTCTTGGCTTGCTCATTTCCTCGCATAGGTTTTGAACACCCCTCTTCGGTAACTGTTCTCTTTGGTTGATTCTGCTTCAGCTTTTGTGCCCATGATGTTACAGACTTACTACTTAGAAAGAGAAAACAAAATTATTTTCTTTAGATGCTGTCCTTCGCACATAAAACTAAACACTAATAAATACTGTGTCCATGGGAAATGCTTTGAGTTCTTTTTCTAACTGCAGAGAAAGGATGGATTTTTATCCATTCACCTACATTTCTTTTTACAATTTTTTTTAAAAAATATTTTTATTTATTTCTAGGAGAGAGAGAGACAGCGTGAGCAGGGGAGGGTCTGAGAGAGAGGGAGATACAGACTCTGAAATAGGCTCTAGGCTCTGAGCTGGCAGTCAGCACAGAGCCCGACGTGGGGCTCGAACCCACGAACCGCGAGATCATGACCTAAGCAAAAGTCGGATGCTTAACCGACTAAGCCACCCAGGCGCCCCTCTTTTTACAATTTCTTATTACCAAAGGCAAAGTGAACAAAAAGACTAATGGTGATTAATAAAGGATTTAACCTATAGGCATGGAAGAGAACAAAACCCACAGTAGTGGCCCGTTCACATACTCAGTGTATCTCTACAGCAAAAGCTCATTTGTTTACAAGGACTAGTGACTATACTTACAGGTCTGTTTACAAGGACTAGTGACGATACTTATAGCTACACAAGATCTGTGTTGCTATAGCTAAATACTTATTTTAGAGAACAGATTTTAGAGATATAAAACTCAATATTAAGGGTAAATGACAAAATTTTAAATGACTGCTTTACGAACATTCATCCACACTTGTCATTAAAGTTAGAAAATTTCCTTCTATATAAAAAGCATAAAATTGAGTATGGTTGTGAATAATTTTTGGTTGCAAATTACATGCACATGTATACATTTATACTCTAAAAAGAGCTTGATTTACTAGATTTCTAAATGTAATAAACAAGAAAACCTCCCTACAAATGATGGAGAAATTCTACTTACCTATTTGTTTTCCCACTGTAAACTTCTGAAATCTTATTTTCACCAAGAAAATTGTGTTCAAATTCACCAGGAAAAATGGAAATATCTTCTTTTAAAGATGCACAAAACTCTTCAGTGGTATGTATATGAAAACTCTTGTTTTTTACACCATCTGCAACGGACTCCGTCTGCGCCAAAGGGGCTCCAAACTGTCCCTCAGAAACCTCTGCGTGCTCCATGAACTCCCGAGGGTCCTTAGATTTGTAGGCGTTTAATTCAGAGACACAAAAGGTCCCATACCCGCTGCTCACTGAGCTACTGTCCACATTGCAGTCTGGTTGTGATGCGGACATTTCCTGCTGCATTTCAGGTTCTTCAGACTTAGGATAACTGGTAATAGGTTCATTTCTCTCACTGTTTTCAGAAAAAAAACCCATTTGACTTCCTGAAGGTAACTGTTTGCTCAAAGAACTATCATAGGAAGCCCAGGAAGCATTACTGGTCTGTAACTTGACTAAATTTTTTATCTCCTCCTGTATACGCTGAAAACAAAGTTAGAGATTTGGTAAGTATGCTGAACATTACATTTTTTATAAATACTATGAAAATATTGCTTTAACATTACGAGCTATTACTCTAAAGAGAATATGTTTTTAGTTCATAAACAAAACTGATATAAAGTATTAACCGGTTCTTCTTGCAAATCTTACAGTGTAAAAAAAGGATCAATACAACAACTTACTTGAATTTGGTTGTGGAACTGCTCCTGCTGGGCAACTATCTGTTCTTGGCATTGTTTTTCCACCAAACTGAATAGTTGTAACCACCTGGTCTATTAAGTTATAAAATATTTTAGTTAAAAATAATTTTTAGTGTAATATTTCACAGAAAAATTCCTCCAGGGGAAAAGGACCTTTTTGAAACGTATTTTTAAATGTAAAATTTATAAGCTGTATTAAGTAGTTATAAAACTGTATTTAATGCAAAAATACAGGGGCACAGGCTTGGTCACCCCTTTCTGATGTAACGTGTAGTTTGGGTAAATTTGAAGGTCTGGGTAAGTCTTATTTTTCAAATGGCATTTCAATTTGATGTCATCTGCTACCATTTCTGTTCACCGAGAACTGGCAGTCATAGGCTGTATTTGCCTTAAGTTATCTTCCTTTCCTCCTAACAACTAGGGATTTTCTTAAACAATGACTTGTACCTAGGAAAAAGAATCCTACGTCTTAAAACGAGATAGTTTGATATTATGGGAATTAAATTCCCATAACCCCTAATTTACTTGGAATTTAAGTTAAAAAAAAAACAAAAAACTTTTTCAAGTCAGATGCTAAAGTGTTTTACAGCACCAGAGCTGAAAAAGGAATGAAAAGAATTGCTCTGAAAACCCATGGAACTGGCCTAGGACTCCCTTCAGTCACTCTAAGGTCCTGATCCATCCTGACTCAGAAGTATAGTTAGTACTCTTATAACCAGACTACAAAACAAGTCAGAAAAGGGTCAGGGAGATCTCTGGAGGCTAAATTCAGTCTCAAGGCTGGTTTACTCTCAGTAATAGACTCTGTGCAATAATATACAGTATCAGTAAGTAGCTACCATGAAAAGAGTTTCCCTGTTTAAAACCGTTCAATATCTTTCCACTCCTGTACTCACAGGCCCCTGAGTGATTGGGCCCATGCACACCTCCCAACTTCATCTCCTTGCTCTCTATTCTGCGCTCGATGCACACCAGCCTCACGGGCCTCCACCTTTTCCCCTGAACATGCCAAAAAGGTTTTCCACCTTGAAAGCTTTGTCTTCACTGTACCCTCTACCCGGAAAGCTCTCTCCCCAGCTCTTATCATGACTTCTTCCCCTCACCCCCTGCAATTTCAGTTTAACGACCACCTTCTCAAAGACAGTTTTCCCAAAGCATCCTACAGTTGCTTTCTTTATAAATGTCATCTTGTTATTGCCTTCAGAGCATTTACCACAATGAAAGAGCACCTCACTTGTTCACTTGTTAACCTGTTTGCCGCCAGCACCTAGGACACAATACCAAGGAAAGAGTGTCTAAATGAGGGTATAAAAATGTGAATTTCAGGGACACCTGGCTGGCTCAGGCGCAGGAGCATGCAACTCTTGATGGGGGGGGGGGGGTTGGTCATGATTTTGAGCCTCACGTTAGGAGTAGTTTACTAAAAATAAATAAATAAATAAAAGTGAAGTTCAAGATGAATTTTTCATGGTATTACAGGCTACCTAATTCAGAGACCCTTCAGATTAATGCTGAAAACCAGTTCTATATTTATAACAGAGCAGAATTAAGTTGAAGACTATATAACAGTATTAAAACAAAAGGAAGTAAAAACCTCAAGATTGAAATAAAACAGTGCTGGGGTAGGGGCGCCTGGGTGGCTTAGTCGGTTAAACGTCCGACTTTCGCTTAGGTCATGATCTCGCGGTTTGTGGGTTCGAGCCCCACGTCGGGCTCTGTGCTGACTGCCAGCTCAGAGCCTGGAGACTGTTTCAGTCTGTGACTCCCTCTCTCTCTGACCTTCCCCTGCTCGCTCGCTCGCTCTCTCTCCTAGAAATAAATAAAAAAATTAAAAAACAAAACAAAACAAAACAGTGCTGGGGTGCCTGACAGGCTCAGTTGATTAAACATCCAACTTCAGCTCAGGTTATGATCTCACGGTCCGAAGAGTTCAAGCCCCGCATCCGGCTCTGTGCTGACAGCTAAGAGCCTGGAGCTGCTTTGGATTCTGTGTCTCCCTCTCTGTCTGCCCCTCCCCTGCTCGTGCTCTCTATCAAAAATAACTAAATATTTTTAAATGTTTTTAAAAAGAAATTTAAAAAACAGTGCTGGGTCGCCTGAGTGGCTCAGTCGTTTAAGCATCCAGCTCTTGATTTTGGCTCAGGTCATGATCTCACAGTCATGAGATGGAGCCCTGAGTTGAGCCCCCTTGCTTAAGATTCTCTTTCTCGCTCCTCCTCTCCCTCTCTGTCCCTCCCCCACTCAAACGCTCTCTCTCTCTCTCTCAAAAAAAATTAAAATTAAAATTAAAAAAAAAGAACAGTGCTGATAGAAAGTATTAATTCTAAATCAGCTAACTTCAGGATAAGGTAGGCTACATCAAATTCAGTTCCTTATCTTCTCAACTTATCTATAATATGAAGTACCTTGATCAAAACAAAAAGTAAATCAGGCAGCAGTTTTCTTATTAAGTTATACTAACTTAAGCACTAACTTAGGGGATATTTTAACCTGACAAAGTTACTAGTTACAAAAAAATAAATTACAATAATGACAGAATTACATAACAAAACAAAACAAAAATGGTCTCATATTATGTGACACACAATGTTAACCACATCCTTATTATCATTTTCTTACTTAGGATACACATGAATAGAGCTTGCTCAGGATATAAACTGGTAGAGAAGATTTTGTTCTCCCTAATCAGATTTTAATTTTCAATAAGCATATTTAAGAACATTATAAATGTAGCCAATAACAACACTTTTTGCATAATTATTAAGAACTATTATTCATGTCTAACCAACATTATTTATATGATCTGCATTGTACATACTGTTGGAGGACTTGGGCATCTAATTAAAGCTTTTCCCTGAACAGTTTTTGATGCTATTAGCCTGAATGGGGTTTCTGTAGGATGGCCTGGTAAATATTCCATTGCCTTTGACATCCTAGGCCTGACTCCCTGCTCTCCACTAACAACCTGTGTGGTCCTCAACAAGTATACTTCATTAATGCTCCTTACTAATTTATAAAATGGGGGGTGGAGGTGTATAAAAATCAGAAGAGTAACACTCCTAGGAGGCTGGGAGGATAAATTTTAAATTCCAGGGGCGCCTGGGGGGATCTGCCAGTTGGAACATCTAACTTTGGCTCAGGTCATGATCTCGCGGTTTGTGGGTTCGAGCCCCACATCACGCTCTGTGCTGATAGAGAGCCTGAAGCCTGCTTGGGATTCTGTGTCTCCCTCTCTCTGCCCCTCACCTGCTCATACTCACTCTGTCTCTCTCACTCAAAAATAAACATTTAAAAATTTTTTAAAAAATTTTTAAAAATTCCAATATGATGCATGTGAAGCAGTGATCTCAAGGGGGGGAACTAGATTTTGAAAATCTGTGAGGTCGTGGTTGTCACAAAGCTAGGAGGCACTACCAGCACTTCCCCAGTCAAGGGATACAAATCACAGGACGGTCCCCGACAATGAGAAACTGTCCTGTGTCCATTTCATATTATAAAAATAACATATATTTTGCACAGCTTTCAAATCACCAAATTGTCCAGGAATCCAACTACAAAGACATTACATTTATTTCAGAACTTGATCAGAAATTGGTCACCATTTCAGAAAACCATGTCACCAAATGCAGTGCTGGATTGTCGACACAGAAGAGCTGTATCGGTCCGTGTCTGTGGCTGCTGCCTTCACGGTGAGTGTACATGTAAACACCAGACCGTGCTTCACTAGGTCTTGTAATGTGGACGTGCCTGAGCACTTATATGCTGAAATACCTGTTATCATGCTAGAAGTAACTTTTATTCCTCCTTCATATCACAGTTAAGAGGATGACTGTTTTTAAAGTGGGTACAGGCATGGGGCGCCTGGGTGGCTTAGTCGGTTAAGCGTCCGACTTTCGCTTGGGTCATGATCTCGCGGTTCATGGGTTCAAGCCCCGCGTCGGGCTCTGTGCTGACTGCCAGCTCGGAGCCTGGAGCCTGTTTCAGAGTCTGTCACTCCCTCTCTCTCTGACCCTCCCCTGCTCACGCTGTCTCTCTCTCTCCTAGAAATAAATAAAACATTAAAAAAAAAATAAAAAATTTAAAAAAATAAAATACAAAAAAATAAATAAAGTGGGTACAGGCAGAATATATCTGTGAACTTCATTTCAGGACAATAGAAGTTGATGTTATTTTAAAAATTGTAAAATTTATTTGTAAATTAGTAATTTAATGGTAAAATTACAAAATGAGGGCTTTGGGCTAATAAGGTTGAGTGCCACTGACAAAAAATAGTGTCTAGTATACTGCTTGGCAAATCGACACACAATAAGTGGTACACATAATAATAACAATTATCATACAACCATTACTCTTAAATACATAATCAGTAGCACTAAAGAGTTAATATTTAAATGCTAAAATAATAAGCTAAGGCAAATTAACTGATACTGTGTTTTAAAATTTTACTATCATAGAAATATTAGCAAATATCAAGTCTTTAAGAACATATTGAAGTATTTCTATGTAAATGTGTTAAAAAAAAACTATTTCCCATGAATCAAAATATATAACCTTCTCAAGCCTAAGCAGTGATAAACTTAAGAATTCAAGGAAAGATGAGGGGCGCCTGGGTGGCTTAGTCGGTTAAGCATCCGACTTTCACTTAGGTCATGGTCTCGCAGTTCGTGGGTTCGGGCCCCGCGTCGGGCTCTGTGCTGACTGCCAGCTCAAGGCCTGGAGCCTGTTTCAGTCTGTGACTCACTCTCTCTCTGACCCTCCCCTGCTCACGCTGTCTCTCTCTCTCTCTCCTAGAAATAAATAAAAAATATTAAAAAAAAAAAAAAAAAAAAAGAATTCCAGGAAAGATGGGGCACCTGGGTGGCTCAGTCGGTTAAGTATCCGACTCTGGCTCAGGTCATGATCTCACGATTTATGACTTCAAGTCCTGCATGGTACTCTCTGCTGCTAGTGCAGAGCCTGCGTCAGAGCCTCTGTCCTTCTCTCTCTCTCTCCTCTCTCTACCCCTCCCCAACTCTCTCTCTCAAAAATAACATAACATAAAAAAAAAAAAAATTCCAGGAAAGAGGTTTTAAAAAGAAATTCTAAAGAAATCAGAACCCCAGAACCCTAAGCTCTTTGGCAATTTTACGTTTTAAGAACACAGATTAGTCCCTTCCAAGTGGTAGAAATCAGACAACTGTTACTATTCCAGAAGAAGGTGAAAACATGAAATTCAGAGGAAATCGTCAGGAATAAGACTTGCACAATCCTTTCCCCTCCCATTCTTCCTACAATGCTACACATCAGAGGATTTTGTTTTCATATGCCATAAAACACACTAATAAATTGAAGAAATTTTACTGAAATGACCAGAAGGATACTTCATGTTCTGTCAAAGTAAGAAATATCTTAAGAAACTATTCACTGAATAATTACATGTCTACATTACAAAAATCAAGTAGTCAACTATTATTAAACATAATAAAAATAATATATTATTGGTGAGGAAGAAAGGGTGTAAAGAAACTGGCTCAATGTTAAGGTGTCAGTGGCTGGTTGGTATGCTGGGTTATAAAAACTTGTATCTTAGATTCACAAACAAATACTAATTCAAAGATGTTGATTTCAAAGTATTAAAAGCAACAATTTCTAGCTCAACATGAATTTGCCAGAAAAGCAATACCTTATTTTTTTTTAAAGCATTCTAATTCAGATTCATAAGCTAATGAAGAAGTTTATTAGGGGAAACATTTCACAAAAGATTCCATTTTTAATTGCATCATTTTATTAGTCTCTTGCATTATCACAGACTGATTATTATATGGAAAAAACATAAAAACTGTAAAAACTTAAAACTCAATTTTCTTAAAGTTTGCATTAATACTCAGTCATTCTTTTTTTTTTTTTTTTTTTAATGTTTATTCATTTTTGAGAGAGAGAAAGAGGCAGAAGATCTGAAGCGGGCTCTGTGCTGAGACCAACATTGGACCTTAAACAACTGAGCCACCCAGGTGCCTCAATACTCAGCCGTTCTTATAACTTCAGTGATTATGGATAATGAATACAAATAATTACACTTAGGGGTGGCTGCTACTGAATTCTTACACCAGGTATTCATCTGTTCCATTTTACATTTTGACAATGACACAAATAATGGTTTTTAAAGTATGATAAACATTTAAAATAAAATTTGCTGTTCCCTAAACAATTTAATAATAATAATGTTTTTTACATTTCTATAAAGCATTACCAAATCTAGCCTTGGAAAAATCTAACTTGGGGGTTATTCTGTGAAACAAAACTTACATATTACGTATTTTTTTATCTGCTAAATTGTTATATCACAATTGAGCCTGTAGACCAAAGAAAGAACCATTGACCTGAAAAATCAATATAACTCAATGTATCGCAACTAAATGGGATAAAACATTACTAAACAAAAGCCTTAATTTATATGTAGAGCATTCAAAATAGTTCAAAGAGGATTTAGGTTTTTCAAAATGGTAACTAACACTTCTGTAGGAGTTACTTAAAACTTTAGAATTGGTAATAGTATTAATAATTTTGGGCTTCTCCCTTCTCTGGACAAAGCTAATATTTTAGTTGACATTTAAAACATAAATTAATGTGTCTAATCACCAATATTTGTCCAAACATACTTTTGATCATCTTTTTCATATTTGTTCACTGCTGTTCCGCAATTACTACTTTTGACTGTTTTACTCTAGCAATAAGGATCATGCTCTTTAGAATATAAATCTCTAATAATTTAGAGTTTAGTAGAGGCACATGTACAATTATATTTTTTAAAATTCCGCAAATAAAGCAAAACTAGATACCTCACAGTTTTTCCAAAGTTCCGAATCAGTCTTTCCACTGTGTTGTAGCTCTTGCATTAAAGAGGTTAGGACTCCAACTGTACCTTGAATTACAGATGGTCTGGTCTTCCCTGAGAAAGAGGATACCCCATTTGTACTAAGGTGGGGACTACTTCTGTTGAAACATAAATAATTCAAATGGTTTTCTTCATTCTACCAAGTGTTGAATAATTCAGCAGTTCAAGTTTAGCAGAGCAGTACAAAACCACTGATATTTAATCCTTCTTAATGGCACCTCGTTTGTTGAAAATCTGATCACGTTTGTCCACAAAAAGAAAATAGGAGTAAAAAGACAACACTTATTTAAGAACCCAACAGAGAGACCCTCTCCAGAAGGGCAAGAACGCTCCAAAGTGCCCGCAGAAAATAAGTCTAGGCCATGCAGTAAATAAGAAAAGGGCCTGGCTTCTCCAATCCACCTTATCCCAGAGGGTTATTACACTCCACTGTGAAAACAGCCTTTTTATTGTGGTGGAGACTCTTTCTCACTGCCCAGAACTGCAGTCAAGTCTTGTTAATCAGATCCCCCTAATTTGGTGATAAACTGATGCTTATCTTTTTTGCACTATCTTTCAATAAAAGTTGTGCCAAGCAAATTAGCAGCAAATATTCAGACTTATTTAGCCTATTCATTGTATAAAATAGCACTCATTCTTTCCAGGAGGACTGCTTTCCCAAACTTGAGAGGAAGTTATTTCAGATTTGCTTTATACAAACACAAAGCATAATTAAGAACAATAAAATCTGTTTAAATTCCAGTCTAAGAGGTCATTTTTCATTTATTGATAACCTACATTGTTTCATAAAGAGTTCCTTAAAAAAAGAAAAAGAAAAACAATACTAATTTTTTTTAAAACAATACTAATTAAAATAACAGAAAAACAGTAACAAGTAGGATCAGTGAAAGATTAATACAAACCCAAGGGAAAGAACAACATACATGTTGTCCTTAACGGATTTACACAATTGTACCATAATCAAGTCTAAATTTGGCTGATTTAACTGCCAGCCACAATGAAAAGGGAGACAATTTCAGTTACATAATTTTCATTACAAGGGCATATTTAGGGGGCACCTGGCTGGCTCAGTTGGTGGGACACACAACTCTTGATCTCAGGTTGGTGAGTTCAGGCCCCACGTTGGGGGTAGAGATGTAAAAAATTGTTTTGATTAAATCTTTAATAAAGAAAAAAAAAGGACACATTTAGGTTCCCCTAGGAAAATTATGTTCTAAAACGGATTTCCTCAGGGGTGCCTGAGTGCTTAGTTGGTTAAGCATCTGACTCTTGGTTTTGGCTCAGGACAAGATCTCAGAGTTTTTGAGTTCGAGCCCCACATTGGGCTTTGCACTGACAGTGTGAAGCCTGCTTGGGATTGCTTTCTCTCTCTCAAAGATAATAAACAGAAAAAAAAAAAAATTAAAGGGATTTCTTCATAGGGGCCACCAAGTGATAGAGGAAACAAATTTTCAGTACATGGGTATAGATTACAAAGACACACATCTCTCCTGGACCATCTGCCACACTTTTCCACCCTTTCCCCTTGCTTTCTCATTTTATATATTCTTGTAAGCTGCCTTATATTCCTCCTGAGGAGGGCAGAGAAGGAACAAACTTTTAAAAGAATTAATGAATTTATTACACACAATTTCATCAAGACCTACTGTGTTTGAAGATATCTGACCCTTTACCAGGAGGCCCCAGACTGGTGTTTTTTTGCTTCCTTGCACCTGCTTGGTATACAGCTGGTCTCCTCTCTAATGGACTCTACCCCTTTGCTGTTTTTAAGCTACCAGAAATTTAGAAATCAAATAATCCAAATTTGTCAGATTATGCACGAAATGAAAGTAAACAGGCTCTGATTAAAAACAAACCAAAGGGGCACCTGGGTGGCTCAGATGGTTAAGTGTCCAAAATCTGATTCCGGCTCAGGTCATGATCTCACGGTTCATGGGTTCAAGATGTACATCAGGCTCTGCGATGTTTGGAGCCTGCTTGGCCTGCTCTGTACCCCCCACCCCCAACTCTCTCTGCCCCTCATTCTCTCTCCCTTTCTCAAAAATAAATAAACTTTAAAGAAAAGTAAACATGGAATAGCTTAAAAAGAAAATGAGTAAGGATAGCATCTATTTTTGTCCACTCAGGGTCTGTTTTTTTGCTTACTTCCTAGTATTCAACTTTATTTTTTTTTCCTAGTATTCAACTTTAATTGTTACCTCCCAGATTGGTGAGGTAGTTCTGAAATATTAAACATTACTTGTATGTAAAAGCAGTATAAAGTCAACTAAAATTTAAAGACATGCTTGTAATCTATGAGGAATTTTTAAAAGTATATAGAGAACTGTAACTAAGAAAACAAGTTCTTTTTCACAGTGGTCCCCATGCAAAAGTATAGTATCTCTGGGAGAAACAAACAACAGGGAAAGACAAACTATTCTGGACTGAAACAACTATTCCTGAACAGCTCCTGCTCAGGGATTGTTGTTATTTAAATGCAAACCAATGACTGTGATGCTATTTGGATCAACTGTGCAAATAAAATTATTTTGATTTGTTGTTACATTAAAAAAAAAAATCTATCCCATTCTTACCTATTACTATTTAAGTTCAGTCCAAAAGAATGGGGAGGATTTTTTATATGAGATTCTATAGAAGATGACGTTTTCCGTAAGGGTTTCACCAAATCAAAATCTTCCATAGTGTATAGAAATCGTTACACTCTCTTATTGGGAAACGTAGGCTCTTTCAATGTTTGAAGAAACTGAATCCGAGTCATCTTCAGATGCTTCATCGTCTACAGGCATTTTCAGTGGCTAACATTCAGAACTCGGAAGTATCCTAAGCTCCCAAGAGAGTCTGAAAATGAATGGAGGAAAAAATACTATAAAAAGCCACTAAATCTAGCAACTGTCTTTTCATTAATTTGGAAACCTTGATCCTTTTATACAAATCGGCATTAAGAACAGCAACATTATTTATAACCGTTAAAATGCAGAAACAATCCAGTGGCCATCAACTGACGAATAAACTCAGGTTGTATATACATATAATGGAATATTTCTCAGCCATAAGAAGAAATTAAATACTGATACATACCACAATGCGGATAAACACTGAAATATTCTGCTCAAGTAAAGGAAGCTCAGTAAAAGATCACATAATGTCTGATTTCATTTATGTGAAAAATCTAGAATAGGCAAATCTCTTGAGACATAAAGTTGATTTACGGTTGCCAGAAGCTGGGGCATGGAGTGGCCAAAAATGGGTATGAGCTGTCTTTTTAGGGTGATGAGAAGTTCCAGAATTATACAGTGGTGATGGTTATACAACCCATCTGTGAACATACTAAAAACCAATGAATTGTACACTTTAAAAGGATGCATTTTACAATATGTGAATCGTATTTCAAAAAATTACAATAAGGGTGATTTGGAAAAGTAGCATCATCTTTTCCAGGTAATATTTCAGAATTTTATGTGTTTAACTATCAAGGTTCTGGACACTATTCTATGTAACAATTGGAATAGTTACATGCCTTGTTCATTTAAAAGCTCCACCCAGTACCCATGTCTGCTGATTTACACAGGGGATAAACTGCAACTACTTAGTTATTTAATTTGGTATTAAAAACAGCCAATTAAATGGTTAATAACACTTGTCTCTCCATCACCTGGAATGCATTTTGCACTACACAGCTTTTATTACTCCCTGCATTTATTACTTCTTAAATAAACTATTTGCCAGGTCAACTAAAAATAACTAATTGATGCAGGTTAACTGATGCTAAGCCTACAGAGACAAATCAGCTGTAACAATTCAAACACCATGCTTCCTACTTAGGGAAATCAAGTTTGTTTGTTTTTTTTAAGTGAAGGAGCAAGGAAAAAGAAAAACATTTATGCTGCTTATAAGATAAAAGGTTAAGGGAGTGTAAAAGAGGAAAATTACCTAGTATTCTGATTCCACTACGCTCCCACTTCTAGGGCCTGGTTTTACAAAGCACAACCCTAAAAAACATCAGTTCATAAAAGAACCATTTCCTTGGGGGAAGGTAGGTTTTGTGAGAGCCAAGGGTAACTGGACCTACCTAAATGGATTTCTCCCCAGTGGCTCAGCCCATCACCAGCCACAAACGGGGTATTGAAAAGGTCTGGGGCTGCACCTTCCACCTGGCAACGAAAATATCTGGATTCAAATCACCCCGGTCTTCTACCAGGAAAGCACAAGGCTCTCCAGGGACTTGGGTCTGCGACCCCATCTATTATTTCGCCCGCTGAAGTAATCCGGATACAGGAGATGCAGACGGAAAACCACTCGAAACGCAAAGATGCTTCCCCGGTGGGGGAGGGAAGGAGGGGAATGGGAAATGAAGAGGGGGAAGGGGAACCCGACATAAATGCAAAATTGAAAGGAAAACAACTCGATGGACAATGAATATAAGCACAGAACCATTTTTTATATCTCCCAGTAACGAAATGTGATGCTTTTGGTCACCAAAACCCTTAGCATAAAAACGGTCGCCGGGGGGTGGGGGGGAAGGTATGGTACAGACTGGGGTCTGCTGAGACTCGAAAAGTTAACCAGGTGTTTCGCTTTGCTGGGAGTCCGAGGGGGTAAGGAAGACGGGGTTCCAGAGGTTTTGAGGCCAGATCGGACATCCTCGCCTTCACAGCCAGACCTCAATTGCTGGTGGGGTGACTCTCGGGTCAAAGTGGGACGGCGAGCAAGAACCAAATGCGGTCGCCTGAACTGTGGGCAGCCCGGAGGCGAGAGGAAGAGCCGCTGCTCCCAAAACTACAATCGCGATTCCCAAAGTAAACCAGACCTTACCAAAAAAAAAAAAAAAAAGATGATGATGAAGAAAAATGCCACAAGCCCCCCGCCCCTCGGAAAGGGACGCTCTGCGATTGGGCCGCGCGGGTGTCACTCAAGGGCACTGAGTCTAGAAAAGGAACCCGGCGGCAGGCAAAGCCCCCACATAACCGAGGGCTGTGGTGGGGGTTGTGTTGTGTGGCTGTCGTCCTCCCCCGCCCTGAGCCCATCAGCACACTTAGGGTTCTGCTAAGTCCCTGTCTTCCGAGCCTCGTCCCCTTACCCCCTGCGACTGACGGCTCCCCACAGGCCCGCGACCACTCACCTGGCCGGGACTCCCACAGTGGATGTCAGGGTCAAGCGAGCGGCCTCTCGCGACCGTTAAACTCGAGGGAGCGTGCGCGCGCCCGGCGTCCGGCCTGTGATTGGTTGCTCTAAAAGGGGGCGGAGACGGTCGTACCGCAGCGCGCCCGTCCGCCGCCCCTTTCTCTACCCGCCCCTTGTGTCAAAGGGGCAGATCCGACGCTTGGGAAATAGGAGGGGGCGGAGCTTCTGCGAAGTTCTCCTGTCTGATTGGTTCTCTGGGAACCTACAGGTGCCACGCGAAAAATAGCCTCCGCTTCCCGCATGCGCAGTTGGTAAGAATGAGCCCAGGGCAAGTGAGCGATGCCATGGCAGGAGTACTGCGCGTGCGCAGACCCAGGAGCGCGATTGCGATGCACCTTCTGCAGTGGTTCGGGTTACCCCAGAAAGTGACGGGGGGAAGCCACACCTGAGGCCAGGTAAGCGTCCGTGGAGCAGCCAGCCTCCTGTACGGTTGCCTGCGACTGTCAAGGACTCTGGAGAGAGGACTGGGAGCTGGGATTCCTGACTTTCCCACCTTGCGATCCTGATTCGTGCAACCAGTTGACCTGAGGCACTGCTGGCGGTGAGGTGCCCCGGTCCAGACACTGAGCTCAGTTTTCTCTGCACCCGGTTTGCCCTAAGCTGCTGGGGGTCTTTCCCCAGGCTCTTCGAGGACTGGGGTGGGGAGGGGAGGACAGCCCACCGCCTTGGAAAAAATATGTCCACCGAAGCCCGAGAAGAAATGGAAAGATCTTCATTTACTTGTTCAGCAGAGCTTTATAGAGCTCTTAGCACGCAGCAGGTGCTGTTTCAAACTGGCACATAGTGTCAGCATGGCTCTTGCCAGGCCTTTCAAGGAGCACAGAGAATCCGTGTTCCTCCCTGTGGGCCCCACCATTTCGTTCTCTGTTCACTTCACATTCTTTTTTTTTTTCTTTTTAATGTTTATTTATTTTTGAGAGAGCATGAGCAGGGGAGGAGCAGAGAGGGGGAGAGAGGATCCGAAGCTGGCTGTGAATCGTTAGCACAGAACTTTGAGATCAGGACCTGAGCCGAAGTCAGATGCTTAAGCTACTGAGCCACCCAGGTGCCCCTGTTCAGTTCACATTCTTAAGACTAGTTAACCTTTAAGGCCAGCTCTTAGATTTCCCTTTGGGTCCAAAGTAAAAGAACTTCCCTGGCCCGATCATGTAGCTGTGGCTGGGAAGCCAGGATGCACGAGAAATGTATTGGCAGGAATGACAGATCTTCAAGGCATTCCATCTCATCTGAGCCTCCTAACAACTCTGTCTCAAAAAGTAAAAATCCAGTCTGTATCCAAAACCCCATCTGTGTATGGAAGATTTCAAGCTTAAATAAACTTAATCCATAACCCACCCCATTGTGTTAATCCACCTGTGCTCATGTAATACCTAACCAAAATCAAAATCAAACTAATTCTAAGCACATGGCTCTGACTTCAGTGATTATATTTCAGGCCCACACACACAAAAAAATAAGAATAAGAATAAGTTTTATCACTAATTTCAGTTGGTCATAATTGTACATAATTTCATTTATTATTTGAGACATCGAAGAATCTTTTACACTCAGAGGAACTGAGAAGTGTGAATTACTGAGACATCTCCAGGCAAACTGAGTTGTGTTACCTTACAAGAAAAAATATTAACCCCAAAATTGAGTACTGGTGATTAGTTCCTAACCATGCAAGAGGTAGGAAGTGATCACTTTTGGCTGCAAAATCCAAAGGGTTCTGTTCAGTTTGAGGATGTAGGTTTTTGGTTGTTTTTGGCTATGTGGTCTTAGGTACCTTTTTATCTATTAATGTCCTAATAAGCCAGTGTATTCAGGAGCTACTATTCTGGTTAACCAAGTTATCTTGTTTATGTTTTGTTTGTTTAATTTTTTTAATGTTTATTTATTTTTGAGAGAGAACAGAGTGCAAGCGGCGGAGGGGCAGAGAGAAAGGGAAACAGGATCTGAAGCAGGCTCCAGGCTCTGAGTTGTCAGTACAGAGCCTGACACAGGGCTTGAACTCAGGAACCACAAAACCATGACATGAGCTGAAGTCAGACTCCTAACTGAGCCACCCAGATGCCCGTTTTGTTGTTGTTGTGTTTTTTAATATTTACTTTTGAGAGAGTGAGATCCAGGATGTGATAGGGGAGGTACAGAGAGAGAGAGAGGAAAACACAGATCTGAAGCAGGCTCCAGGCTCTGAGCTGTCAGCACAGAGCCCAATGTGGGGCTCAAACCCATGAACTGCAAGATCATAACCTGAGCTGAAGTCAGATGCTTAACCGACTGAGCCACCCAGGCAGCCCCAAAAAAGGTAGTTTTTAAAGCCCATAGACATTATTTCTGAATATAGAAAACAGAAGTAGGCGGCTTCAGAAATTCCAGTAAATGTATAATAGCTTCATCTAATCTAAACTGACCTCCCATCCTGGAGATTTTGTACTACTTGTGTGCAAACTGACTCCACTATTTTATGGTCTTGATGATGGTATAATTACTATAGGACTTTATCATAACAAATTGCTCAAGTATCTCTTTGACCTTGAAGACTTCACACTGACAGCCTTTGAGCAGAGATCTTTCACATTGCTGTGGATAAGACTAGGCTGTACAGTCATAATGGCTGATAATGGCTTGTGGCATTTGGTGTCTGTTAACCCAGAGTTGCTACTCTTTATGTCCAAACAGTTTGTCATTTGGGGGGGGCCAGGTCTCCACAGCAAAAAAAAAGAGAAAAAAAAATATGAGGAACTTTAAAACTTTATAGTTTAATTATTAAGCATGAAATCATCAGCTATATATTTAAGTTTTTGAGGGGCACCTGGGTAGCTCAGTCAATTGAGTGTCCAACCCCCGATTTCAGCCCAAGTTATGATCCCCGGGCTGTGGGATCGAGCCCCACTTTGGGCTCCGCACTGAGTGTGGAGGCTGCTTGGGATTCTCTCCCTCTGCCCCTTTCCCCCGCCAGCATACACTTTCTCTCTCTCAAATTAAAAAATATGTAAATTGTTTCATCTTTCTTGTCCTTCACGATTTTTCTTCCCATATCAGATAATCCCTAAGGATCTTCATGTTTAAACTAGGACTTGCTTGGGTGAAGGTGGTTTGTCTTTCAATGTGAGCCTGCTGTTAAGTCACACTGTATTCTCAGCATCATAATTATCTCCTTGGCACCTGATTTCATAGACTACAATTATGACCTCACCAGATAGCATGTCTTTGGTAATTTCATGATTTTCAAGTACTTCTTAAATTGGTCCATACAAAGTGAAATAATTTGCAAGTCATTATTCTAGATGCCTTTCCACTCTGATCCTGGCTAGCTCGGTCAGAAGAGCATATGACTCTCGGGATCTTGAGTCACGAGTTCAAGCCCCACACTGGGGGTAGAGATGACTTAAATTTAAAAAGAAAAAAAAGAGGAAGTGTCAAGAAGAGAAAGTTGAGGAAAATAAACTAACTAACACTGTTAAGGAGTTGGGGGAAAGAACAGATCTAGAGATGTTATGAAAGGTGAAGGGAAAAAGGATAAAAAGAAAGCTGTTGAAATGATAAGTTTAGTTTAAAAATGGAATACCTGGCACTCCTGGGTAGCTCAGTTGAGTGTCTGACCAGCTCAGGGCATGATCTCAAGGTTCATGAGTTTGGTTCATGAGTTCGAGCCCCACATAGGGGTTGTTGGCAGGGAGCCTGCTTCAGATCCTTGTCCCCTTCTCTCTCTGTCCCTCCCCCATGTATGCACGCGCTCACACGAGCTCTCCCTCAAAAATAAACATTAAAATAATAATAATGGAATACCTAATGTTCTTCCAAGATAAATCCTCCTAAATTAATCCCTTCTTTTCTTTATTCCTGCCAAATATGATAATGTATTTGAAAGTACCTTGAAAGCAATAAGTCCTAAACAAGTACAAGGTATCATTCATAATAATAGAGGTGTTGAGAATTTAAGAACATGTAGAGTGTTATTACTGCTGCTTTTTTATGTGTTTCTGTCATATTTTAACAGTTGGCGGGGGGCGCCTGGGTGGCTCAGCCAGTTAAGCGTCCAACTCTTGATTTTGGCTCAGGTCATGATCTCACAGGTTTGTGAGTTTGAGTCCCACATCGGGTTCTGTGCAGACAGTGCGGAACCTGCTTGGGATTCTGTCTCTCCCCCTCTCTGTCGGCTCCTCCCCTGCTCATTCTCTCTCTCTCTCTCAAAATAAATAAACTTGAAAAATTATAATTAAAAAAGCCAGTGCAGCTGATAAAATTATAAAGTTCCTGTTAGATCCATAAATAGAGGAAAATCACAGCAATGCACACAAATAGGACAGGTGTCATTCTCTGTGGATTCAGAGTTTTCTGTTAAAAAAAAAAAAAAAAAGGAATGGGATGTTAGTGTCTATGAATTAAAAGCTTTTCTCTTTATCTCCTTCATGAGTTGTCTCTTGAGCTCTGTTACATTGAGACCAGACCTCGCGCCGTCCCCAGCTGGGCATTTCCTGCTCAATCTATTATGCTCATCTTAGTTGAGAAATAACCCTCTGCCAGCACTTCCTGTGAGTGAAAGGTGCTTTATCTTCAGAGCGAACCCCCAAGCCCAGGAAAGGACTTGGTCTCTTTCAGGCCTGAGCCACAGCCCCCAGCTGTTGCACTCTGGGAGGTGCTCCAGCCCCCGGAAGGCCTTCAGACAAGCCAAACGGGGATGAGCTGGATGGAGCCCTGGCTGCTTTTTTCTCACTCCCATTTTCCAGGGCGCACCTAAGTGTACTAGGAAACGTGGACTATGATTAAGCATTTCTCAGAAAATCATCCTCTCCCTTAGCTTCTGGTGCCATCAGCTGGCCATTGTGTCCCTTTCGAGATTCACCACCGTACGCCAGCCTGTGCCAGGCACCGTGCACCGTGTCTGGTCCTTCAGCGTCAATCACGTCACTGTTTTGCAGCCTGTCACTTTTTCTCTTGCTATGGAAGGGGAAATGGGACCATAACCAAGCAGGTAACCGGCACTCCAGAATATGGCCTCCGCTTCTTAAATATTAGAAGCATGAGAAACACCAGCTTTTGGAAGTGTCTGTCTGTCCCAGCAGGCGGAAACACTTGCTCGGTCCTGCGTCCTAGTACAATGCTTCTCAGACTTTGGGAGTGTGCCTCTGAGTCACCTGCGGATCTTCATGAAATGCAGGTTCTCAGTTAGGAAGTCTGGGGTAGGGCCTGACAGTCTCCATTCCTAACAAGCTCCCAAGTGGTGCTGTCGTTACTGCTCTGCAGACCATAACGAGCAAGATTCTGGAGCTACACTGTCTGACAGGGTAGATTTTGAAGACTTCATACAAATAATAAGGTATCTCAATAAATTGCATATTGATTACATGTTGAAATAATATTTTGGTCATACTGGGTTAATATAGTAAGTAAAGTCTATTTTAATAAA